TGCCTGAGTCCCTGAGCACCATGGGCAGCTGCCTCCCTCTCTGGGCTTCCCTTTGCCCTCCCAATGCCGTCCTTTTCTCTCCTGGGTCCTGGGGTGAAATTCTGACCAGGCTCTGGAGGCACTTCTGTCTCCAAACTCAGACGCTTCATTGCAAGTTTCCTCAGCTGGGGACAATTCTGTACTGGGCAAGGAGGGGCTGTCCAGGGGTGGTAGGGGTGAAGGGAGATGCCTGGTCCTCCGAGTGAGCTCCTGCCATCAACTCCTCACCCGGGGCCCCAGTCTCTTGGTTTGCAAATTGCCAAGTCTCACCCCAGCTGACTGTCAAGGATTCGGCTGCCAGCCTCCAACACCAGCTCCTGGCTTCTCCCCAGATCTCTGGCAGGTGGTATTATATCGGCTCAGCCTTCCGAAACCCTGAGTACAACGTGTCGGCTAGATCGATCCAGGCGGCTTTCTTTTACTTTTCTCCTAATTACGTGGAGGACAAGATCATCCTCAGAGACTACATGACTATGTGAGACCCCTACACGCTAGCTCACCCCCAGCCCCAGATTCTGGCTTCCCTTCCCAGCTGCAGAAGGACCTGGAGGAAGTCTGCCCCTCCTCCTGGCCTCAGTTTTCCCACTGATGGACTGGGGAGGGCTGACTCTAATTGCCACCCAACTCTTGGCTCTCAATGACTGTGATGCGTGGTTGCCACCTTCCCCTTGGTCATCTTACTCTTTTCTCCCCACTTCTGTATGGCTTTATAGTGGGAACAAGTGCATCTATAATACCAGCATCCTGACGGTCTATCGGGAGAATGGGACCATATCTAGGCATGGTGAGGACCAGCCCTCATGTGCAGGGCAGCTGTATGGAGTGGGGAGACGGTGGGTGGACCAGCCTAAAGGAGGGAGTCCAGGGCTAAGGCCCTGGGGGCTTTGGGCACGGACAACATGGGACAGGCTGACTTACTTCTTGTATCTGTGGGCCCAGTGCCTGTACATGGCAGAAATTGGTAATAACTGCCAACGCTTTTGAGCTCTTACTATGTGCCTGGCACTGTTTGAAGTACTTTACGTGAGTTAATCCCCTTACTACTCACAAACAACTCTAGAAGAACATTACGGTGATCAGATGAGAAAACAGAGAAACAGAGATGTCAAGTAACATCTCCAAGGTCACACAGCTGGTAATGAGAACAAGGATTCAAACCCCAGGCTGGCTCCAGTCCTGCCTTTCTGTCAACTACTTACCCTCCAGGAGCTAAGGTGGCAGCCTCTGTTGGGGAGGCAGTGTCTCACCATCACCTGTCTGAGCCTGATTTCCTCATCTGTAAACTGGGGAGAAAGGCCCTGACAGCCATGGTCCATGTGAGGCACCTCTGACTCCACACAAGGAGAGTGCTCAGTGCAGAGCCTGGTGCACAGGAGGAGCGAGGGACCCATGGCCCAAGGGAACCCTTGGTCTTCGCTGACTGGCTGTGTGGCCCTGGGCACACCCAGGTTCCTGGCCTGGGAGATGGAAACCGTGGTATCAGCCCCACAGTCTCACCGGAAGCTTTCTCCTCCAGAGTCGGGCAGAGAACACTTTGCTGACCTGCTGTTCACCAAGGACCCCAAGACCTTCATGCTTGCCAACGCCAGGACAGACGAGCAGAACAAGGGGCTGTCCTTCTACGGTAGAGCCCCCCAAACTCCTACTCCTCCCAGGCCTCACCCCAGGACCACTGTTGCTCGGGCTAGACCCCAAAACCCCAGCCTTCCCCAGTCTCCCACGTAGGCCCCCCAGCATCCTCACCTGGCCTCCCTGCTCCCTCCTGCAGCGGACAAGCCGGAGCTGACCCAGGAGCAGATGAAAGAGTTCCACGAGGCCATCTCGTGCCTGGGCATTGACAAGTCCGAAATCACGTACACCGATCAGAAAAAGGTGAGCGCGAGGAGGACTGGGCCCTGCCCTGAGGGTGAGCCGCCTGGGGCAGCCCCAGAGACCCAGAGAGGGGAGCTGCCGGTCAAGGCTGCACAGCGAGGCAGGATATCCTGTTTAAGCACCTGCCTCACTGCAGGGCCCACAGCGGGTGATGAGAGGCCAGGAGGGAAAAGTCACAGGGCAATCAGGAAGGATGCCCGGAGCAGGTGGGGAGGGCTGGGAAGGCTAACGGGAGGGGAAGAGCGTGGCCAAGGTGCGGCAGTGGGAACTTGGGAAAGAGACACACGAGGGGAATGATTCTGCACCGCTGCCTGCCACACCCCAGGCTTCAAAGGCCCACGGGATGGGGAACTGGTCTTGTGGTTTTCGGTGTCACCTAACCTGCAGGTCCAGGACCACCGTCCTGATTTTTGCTATCACTGAGAATTCCCCGTGTTGTCGTGATACATTCCTTTAAACCTGCGTTAAATGAAATGCTTTACTTGGTCTTGCCCTACACGATAATATCTGACATCACAGAGAAGGTGATGAGCAGGTTACACCCTTTTGGCTGTACATGAAATCCGTTCCTGATGATTAAAATAAAAACATCTCCATCTGTCTGCCATGGGAGGTCTTTTCCTGTGACCCCCCCATGGCACAAACCATCCCCCCACTTTCGGGGACCCCAGGAAAGGGCGTATGATCACAGGCCCAGGAGCTGGCCCCATCTACTGCTGGAGGACCTCGGGCAGGCCACAGGCTGCCCCAAGCCTCACTCTCATCACCCACAAAGTAGTGTGAGGAGTCCAGGGGATCCACAGAAGGGAGTGGCAGGTCATAAGTGCTCAGTATCTGCCAGTTATTAAGGGTTAGAGGTGAAAAGGCTGAGACTCAGAGAGAAAATGACTTGCCCAGGGTCACCCAGTTAAAGCCCTGCTCGGGCTGGTCCACAGTCCAGAGCCCGTTCCACTCTCCCCACAGAAAACCCCTTGCCCTCCCCATCTTCGCACTTTCTCCCCCTGTCTTCTAGAATCTGTGCGGGCCACTGGAGAAGCAGCACGAGGAGGAGAGGAAGAAGGAAAACGAGGGCTCCTAAGAGGACACAGTGCTGGGTTAGGACCTTGGGGGACTTTGGGGGCCCATCCTCAGCCCCTCGCCCACACTTTGTACCTCAGTTCTTTCCCTCAGTTGCATCAATAAAACTTCTGTATTTTGTACAGGCAGATTGTCTTTTGCTCATTTGTCCATTTGTTCATTCATTCATTCATTCATGTTGTGCCCGCCCTGTGGTGAGCCCTGGTTAAAAGGGCCCCTGTTATAACACCCAGCACATGTGCCAGGATGGATGACGACATGCACTGAGTGCTATGGGAGCCCAGCATAGGCAAGGTTCCTTCTCTAGTACGGAAGTCTGGGAAGGCTTCCTGGAAGGGGCTTCTGAACCAGTCTAGAAAGCTTGATAACACCTGCTGTTTCTGCTGCAAGCCAAGGATCTGCTTGAGGAACAATGAGGCAGAGGACCCCGAATAGGCATTCAGTAGATAGAAGGCCGTGAGGGCTCAGGAGTGTGGTCCAAGCACAGGGACATCACCCCAGCCATCTGGGGAGGTGAGTTGGGAGGGACCAGACTGGAAGCAGGAAGACCCATGCAGAGGCTGCTGTGAGCATCCTGGTAGAGGCAGGTGCCTGGGCCATAGCAGAGGCAGGATGAGGGAGACTCGGAGGACTTGGGGCCAGGCCAGACGGGCTGTGTGTGTCCATGAGGTGTCCCTATAGTGCACACCTCCACCCCGGAGGCGGACAGGACACCTAGGGGTAAGATTGGTCTCTCAAAACTAATCATTCTTGCAAACATGTTTGGAACCGTTGCGATGGGACCATGTCTGAGGTGGTCCACTTGGTGGCATAAGAACTGAGCATCTGAAGCCAGGAGTCAAGCAAGGAAAGCCGGCCTCTTGTAGACCCAAAGGCTTTATAATATACGGTCACGTGAGGGAAGCAGCAACACTCAGGTGGCAGAGAAGTTGGGGGTGAATTACTCGAGTAATTCCATGTGCGAGTGTCCTAAGCCTTCTAGAGTGACAGAACCATAACCCTGGCTCCTGACACCTCACACGCCAGAGCCCTCCAAAGAGCCAAAGACCCAAGACTCCAGCATCCTTTGTTCAAAGCTGCATCCATGCTACATGCCCGGGGCACTGGGGCTGTGACACTGCCCTGGGCCTCCACCTCGGGCTCCCCCTTCCCATCCTGATATCCTGAAGGGTGTGGACCTGGAGGCTCAGAACCTGTAAGAAACCTTCCCATCTCAGTGTTAACTCTCAGCAAGATGCCATTTTCAACTCTACTGACAAGAATCAGCTGAAAAATAAAACAGAAATGGGGGGCAGGGTATAGCTCAGTGGTAGAGTACGATGCTTAGCATGCATTAGGTCCTGGGTTCAATCCCCAGGACTCCATTAAAAAATATCAATCAATCAATCAATCAAACTAATCTCTCCCCTAAAAGGGTCCTGGAGGCCAGGGAGGAGCAAATGAGACGAGAGAGGGGGAACACTGAAGACAAGCTCAAGCAGGAGTTGGGAAGAAAAAAAGTCACGGAGGTTTAGAGAGAAAAGAGCAGTAAGGAAAAATATGGACTTTGGAGTCAGACCATTGTGAGTTTGGGCAAACAGCCCACTGGGACCTCAGTCTCCTCATCAATAAAATGGAGGCACAGAGGGGTCAGTACTTAGCTGTTGTTGCCGTTTGCTGCTAAAAGGAGCACTGGAAAGAGTCCAGGCTCGTGCTTTGCGGACCCCAACCTGCTATGTCTCTTACCACCTCTGGCCTCAGTAAAAGAGGCTTGGCCAGACAGTCTCTCCAGGGAGGCCCCTCCAGGTGGAAAGGTTTACTGTTCTGAGGTGGGAAGTGGGAGACACAGAAGGCACCAGAGGGAGGCAGGAAGAGTTGGAATTGTGCACCCAACTGGTCCCCTGGGAGAGGGCTCGGCTCAGCACCAAATCTTCCGCCCCACAAACCTGACATTAGAAACCACAAGTCGATGACACACCACAGATATGGGCGGCTTTGGGAATGTTTTGGGGGTTTTTAGGGGCCTTCGTTTCTTAAGATCAATATTCATTCTTCTTTATTTGTCCTCATAATGAAAATAGATTTTTAAACACCTCAAATATACAAATATCACTGATGCACATACATTCCAGAAAAGCTGAGGTATGAGCTGCTACAGGGTCAGGGAGCAGGAGGTGGCCTGGCCTCAGGGCCACAGGCCAGGACCTGGCAGGTAGCTGGCCACTGGCCCAGTTCCACAGGGATCCCCGGGAGAGAGCCTGGGGTGAGGTACCGAGGGGGACTGGCGGACGGCTTCCCGGGCCCTCTGCGGGGTGTCTCCATCCCAGCAGGCCTGTGGGAAAGCCTCTTAACCATGGAGAAGCTGGATGCCTGTCATCCTAAGGTATCCCAGTGGCCTCAGTCACTGGTCACCAGAAGAGAGGTCCCCAGCCTCGTCCTTCCCAGAGACACCTGCTCTGGAGTATCTGGTTGCAGCTGGTGGGTAAGTTTTCACCAGAAACCCTGGCCCTGTCCCTTCTTCTCTGGCCTCCTAAGAAGGACCCAAGGCCAGGAAAATGTCTCAGTTTAAAAAAATATCTGTCCATCTGTAGACAAAAGACATATTATTAGCTGGCAATGGACAAGTGCAGGACTGGAAGACTCCCAGAGGCGGTGTCTGGACAGAGGCGACCTCGATCCCAGCACCAACCGCAGGGCTGGGCCCCAGGAAGTGACTTCTCTTGATGACAGTTGACATGCCTTCCGTTCTGGAAACACCCAGGCTGCGCAGGCAGGGCTGATGCGGAGGGACCCCGCCCCCATGAGGGTCTGCAGGGCCTCCAGCAGTGGCTCCAGCCGGACCCTGGCCCAGGGGACGACAGCGGGCTGCCTGCCCCTCGCCATCCGTGCGTCTCTGAGCCTTGAGTGGAGTCAGAAGAGGCAGGAGCCCCGCAGGCCGCGGGCCTGGCGCAGGTCGGCCGACAGGGAGCGGCTCATGTGCTTGGTGGTGGAGCGGACGCTCTCGGCGGCCTGCACGGCTCGGCTCAGGGCCTTGTTAAGCTCCTCCAGGTCCTCCAGGTCCAGCTGGATGGAGCGCCGGGGTCCCCCCGCCGGCCGGGAGGAGGCTGCGGGGGGCCACTCGGCGGCCGGTCGGGCTGAGGGGGCTGAGGTAGGTCCTGGAGGCACATAGAACCTGGGGAGAGAGGTAAGGGCGTTCACCAACTAAGGAGAGGGTGGCTGGTTCTCAGCCCCAGCTCGGCCCCTGGCCCCCATTCACTGAGTCTCAGTTCCTCATCTCTAAAGTGGGAAAAATAAACACTTCCTTTTGAGGGATGTGTTGGAGGGATGAAGGAAGATAAATGAGAGTGCCTGACCCAGAACAGGTGCTCAGAAATGGCTGGTTCAATTTACCTGACCACTGAACCAGTACTAATTGACCACATACTATGTGCCAGCCAGTGTGCTAAGCCCTGGGGTTACCATGGTGAATGAACTACATGGACCCTGCCCACCACCTTCTTGGAGCTTCCAGTCTGAGAGCCAGGTATCGGAGAGACCAGGATCGCCCTCCAGGCTCTGGAGCAAGCCCCCTTTATATATGGAGTCTCATTTGTCAAGTGCAGAGCCCTGGAGAAACACGATAATAATGGATAGGATTCTGCAGGAGTGGGGGTCTGGCTCCATTCATCCAGGCAGCAGGCAGAAAGGTGTCTTTTACCAGCCTGGTCCTGCAGGAATGTGGGGTGGTGTTTAAAATTTCTGGAGAAAATGAGCTGACGAGCTATGAAATGAAGTACAGATTTCTTCAAGAAGTGACTACTGCATTCATCGGAGGCCACCAAGTGTAGGGTTCAAGGAAACCTGCACTGGGCAAGAAGAGGGTGTGGCACCTGTGTTGTGGAGTAAAGTGTGTAGGAAAGAGGGGGACAAAGCATTTCACCTAAACAGAGCAGAAATGGGTTTGAGAGGACTTGGCTGCAGACATTGATTGGTGTCTTGCTTGCCACACTGTAAACTCTGCTCTTATTCCTGATTTTCCACTTCTTAACTTGCTCTAATTGTACAGTGTGAAAAAAAGGGCTTTGTTAGATCTGCATAGACGTCCCTTGGCTGAGACAGTTTCTCAGATTTGCCTTATTTTCGACCAACAAGCACATGAAAAGATGCTCAACATCATTAGCCACCAGGGAACTGCAAATCCAAACTACATGAGATGCCACTTCAGACCCTTCCCACCCACTGGGATGGCTAAAATCAAAAAGATGGGAAGCAGTGAGTGTTGGTGAGGATGTGGAGAGATCAGAACCCTCAGACACTGCTGGTGGGAATGTAAAATGGTGCAGGCACTTTGGAAAGCAGTCTGGCAGTTCCTCAAACAGTTAAACACACCGCCTAGCCCTGGGCTGGCATCCCCATCCTTGGTACCCATGTGCCAGGCTCTGAGACCAGTGCTTTACCAGCACAATCTTGTGTATTCAGTAGGTACTATTATTCAGTAGGTACTTATTCATCTGAGCAAAGTGAAGCTCAGAGAAGCTGAGAGATGCAGGAGGTTGCCCCAAACCCGTCATTCCGCTGGCCACCTGAACGAAGGACCCTGAATAAGCTACTTTACTTTCAAGGGTTCCATTTCCCCACAGAAAACAGCCATATTTGGCTACTTCCCAGGGCAGATCCAATAGGAAAATTCAGGTTAAATGCTCTGTATGCTCAGTGCTCTGTAAATGTCAGCTACGGAGGGCTCTCGCAGAGTCAGAGAGCTGGAAGGGGCAGTACTGGATTCACACCCAGGACTAATTAGCTCCCAGTAGCTACTGATACATACCCAAACGAATGGGCTTTTTGAAGCCAATTCCCTCCTTCAGGGATGGACTATCTGGTGTGACTACTGGGTTCCCACATACCCTTGCCTTCTGATAATTTGATGACCAGCTTGGCTTGAAAGTTACCCCCACAATCCCCCTAGGGCAGAAGCTACAGAGCAAACAACAATCAAGAACCCCTCCAAAACCAAAAAAAATGCCTCCAGGCTAGAAAGCCTCTGGCGCAGAGTCTATAAGGCAGCCTCCCAGCAGGTGGCAGCACAGGCCCGTTCGGTTTCTAAGGGCTTACTGGCCTCAGCCCTGAGTATGCTGTCTTGCTGATGGGTAGCTGGAGCAATTTTAGGGCATCGTCAGCCCCAATTCCAGTAGCATTAGAAGCACTTTGGTTACTGGCCACCTTCTATGTACTATGGGCTTTCCATGCATGGTTCATTTAATCCTCATCACAACCCGTTTCACAGAGGGAAAAACTGAGGCACAGAGGAGCAAAGTGACTCTCCCAAGATGATACATATGGCTACTGCTGGCCTTGTCTGTCAGGGCTAGAGCCCAGAGCCTTTCCTCTTCCCGATGGCCTGTCCAGGCCTGGGGATGGCCTCCTAGTTAGTTCTGCTCACATGTCTGAGCCTGGAAGGATCTGGAACGGCCTCAGAGCCTGGAAGGGCCTGGAATGCAAACTCAGAGCTTTATCCTGGTTCCCCAGATTCCAAGCAAATCCTCTCCTGCCTGACAAGTTGGAGCATAGGTGGGTGTTGCCACTGCCCCTGTCAGAGGCCTGAGCACACAGCACAGCCTCTCGGAACTGCGCGAGTGGAGGGATGCTTAATGACTCTCCTGGACTCGGCTGAGGGGGTAGCGAGAAACCGCCTGGTAGGCCTGAGTCCTCATGGGGGACCAGAGCTGGATGGCGCCTCAGCCTCTGCTCCCGCCAGGCACCAGCCCTCGGGGGACTCTGGCCCCTCGCTGCCCACAGACATAGGCTTCTGACGACACACCACCAAAGAGGCCTCCTGACCCACTCATTTTACAGAGGGAAACTGAGGCATAGAACCAGCTCATAACAGTCAGGGTCCAGGCGTCTTTCCCCTGCACAGCCCTGTCATGTTGAAGCCATACTTCCTCGCTTTTCCTCTTACTAATGACAACATTGAATGGTGGCAGCCTTTGCTGGGATGACAAAGCTGCCATTTATTCCCCAAAGAGCATGTGCTGGCACTGCACCACCAACCCCACAAACACCTCCTGGGGTTCTTGCCTCACTTAATCCTCACACAACTGGACATGACTGAGATTCTCACCCCATTTAACAGATGGTGAGAGAGAGGCCCAGAGAGGAAGCAGCTTTACCAAGGCCACAGCGCTAATAGGCGGCGGGCAGGATTCCAGTGCAGCTCGGACTCTAAAACCCGAACCACTTCTGCCTCGACTGTTGTGTCTTTTCTGTCTTGACTGATGTTACATCCAGATCCCTGTAAAAAGTGAGTGCTCATCCTGCTGTGGGCCTGACCAGTACATCTGTAAACTGCCAAGGCCATCGAAAATAAGGCAAATCTGAGAAGCTGTCTCAGCCAAGGGGAGCCTGCGAGATGTGACGACTAAATGTACGTGGCATCTTGGATGGGATCCTGGAACAGAAAAAGGAGTTCAAGTGAAAACGAAAGAAACCTGAATCAGCTATGGACTTGAGCTAATAACCGTGTATTAATATTGGTTCACTAATCGCACATGTATCTATTAAGGTGAGATGTTAATAATAGGAGAAACTGTGTGTGTTTGGGGGGCTATGTGGGAACTCTGTATTATCTGCTCCATTTCTCTATAAATCTAAAACTGTTCTAAAAACTAAAGTCTATTTTTTTAAAAAGTGAGCGAGCATTTGCACAAGGAAATGGAAGATGATTAGGATTCTGGATTCCCACGAGGCTGTAAAGAGGGCAAAGCCTTCTGCCAGGCTCTTTCACTTCTGGTTCCTCAGTGCCCAGCACTCTCCCTGGTACACAGGGAGCATCCAGAGTTTGCTGAGTGACTATATGAGTGTTGTGAGGAAACACAGGAGTACTTAGTGCCCGGGTTCAAAGCTGCCCAACTCAGGTCTGAATGCTAATTATTAAGATATTCAGACAGAGAGACTGGAGGGTTGGAATGGAAGATTCTTACACAGTGGCTGATGGATAAGGCATGACGGGGACTGAGGACACGTAGGCAAAGGCAGGAGGGGTTGGTGCTGAGGGCGCGGCAGCCAGATACCACAGTCCAGGGGGTGGCCGGGGCGGCGACTCTGCCCGCTTGCTCCTCTGCTTGGGGCTGGAGGTTGAAGGTGTATTTCTTCTGGTGGCGGCCTTTTCTGGTCCTGACAGGGAAAAACGTCAGAGAGACACAGGCTGGCCACTTGGGGAGACCTAGCAGAGAACAGAGGGTCTGCCCAGCTCCACCCACCCTGTTAGAGCTGAAGACTGGGCCGGCCACGCTGGGAGTGCCTGGCTTTGGGAAACAAACGCTTGTCCAGTTTGCTCCATCCCAGACTGGGCAAACAGCCAACCCAACTAAACCTGCCAGGGCCCTGAACCAGCACCCAGAAAGCTGGGGGAAGAGACGGAGCCACCTGTCCCTACCAGAGGTGGCTGAGTCTGGGCCATCCCCCTCGGAAGGGGACCCAACTTGACCACACAGGGGACATCGCAGGGTCTCAGTGGGGGACGGTCCCGGTGGGCCCTTGGTGACAGTCCCGCCTGGAAGAGGAGGAAGAGAAGTCAGGAGAGGATTACGTCCAAGTCCTCGGGCCTGGGGCTCCCCCAAAGGCCTCCCGCAGCACTGGGCTTCCCTCAGGGACCACTGCGGGAGAGACAAGCTGCCTCCACTGGGTGACAACAGTGTTGATGGCAACTATGACAGTGGGAGGCATTCAGTGAGCCAGGCCCTCTGCTCAGGGCCTTCATGCACTATCTGATCAAATCCAACAAGCCATGGGGCTAGCTTCTATCATCACTCTCCCATTTTACAGATGGGGAAACCAAGGCTTCAAGAGGTGGAATAATTTGCCCAGACTCAGAGCAGGGAAGCCATGGTCCTCTGTCTGATCATAAGCCCCGCACTCCTGACTGCAGTCCCTGCACCTTGGCCACTCTCCACAGTGACACAGTCCCATTCTCCAGGTGGGACTGGCCCAGCAAGGCACCAGACCAGGGGCTCAGCAGGGGCCTACTGGAGTAGGAGGAGAGTGGGTTCCCTTGCTCTGTTCCCATGCAAATCTTCAAAACCATATCTGGTGAATTCTAGGGCCCATCTGCTTCTCCTTCAGGCCTGAGTTCAGCCTTCACTCCCCCTGGGAAGTCCTCCCCCCACCACCCCAGGCTGAGTTATGTGCTCCCCAGCCCACCCTGTGCCCCTCCATCCCAGTTCTGACCACTCTGTTTTGTCTGCTTCACTGAGATTTGGTTGGGGACAAGGCCTAGGGCCCAGTATGGGAAGGTGCTGAATGAATGAATGAATGAATGGTGGAAGCTTGTTGGGAATCTAGCAAAGGCAGAGCAAGACAGTGAAGAAGAGTCAGGGCTCTGGAGTCACAAAGACCTGGGTTCAAATCCAGTTCTATTACTTATAAGCTGTGTGCCCCTTGGGCAAGTTACTTAACCTCTCTGAGCCTCAATTTCTTCACTCATAACGGGCAAAATAATAAAATGGGCAAAGCCTACTTCATAGGTTTGTGAGGATTAATGTTTATAAAACCCTTAGCATTATGTCTGTATACAGTAAGGGCTTAATAAATGACCACCTCTTTCTTAACAGATGTGGCACCTGAGGCTCAGAGAAGTTAAGGAACTTGCCTAACGTCACACAGTATGTCAACGGCAGAACTGAGACTAGAACATGGTGTCCATATTCGCAGGCCACTGCTCTCCCCGGGAAAGGATGGGGAGTGGAAGGAGGATGGAGGGGAGACAAGACATAATGATCACTGCCAGCCCTTTGGCTGCTTGCACTCCTCATCAGAAACTGTTAAAATCATGTTTATGGTTTTTCTGTGTCAAGATGAAGGAGGGTGGCTTCAGGCAATAGCACCTGGAGCAACAGGTGTGAGAGCAAGACGCCCTGGGAGGGCTGAGCAGCCCAGAAAAATCCCATTCCCTTATCTGTACCTGAACCCGCCACTGAGGCCAGGGCAGCCCATGTCTCTCCCAGTTGCACCCCACCAAGAGCAGGAAGCTGCAACCTCAGAGCCCTGGCCGCTTCTCCAGGTACCTTCCCCTACCTGGGTCCTGGGTTCTAACAGGTCGGCACTGGGGACAGGAGACTGGACCACTACCTCTTGGGACTGTCTTTGGGGTCGAAGCGTGGTACTCCTGGCCTGGGGAAGAAACCAGAACAGTCGTGTTAGCTTTCTGCGTGGATGCAGAATTGGGGAGGATTCAAAATAAGGATCTCTCTCCTTTTCCTCCACATGGCTTTAATAGTCTCCCTCTCTCTCCTTCTGTCGTGCACATGCACACACGTGCACACACACTACATGTGTGCATAAATACGCACATATTGAAGTTTGCACGTACATATACATAGAAAGACACTTATTTGTCTTTTTATTGTAAGCTCTCTCCAGATTCCTGTTTCAGCTCAGATCCCATTTAGGGACCAGCTGCCTAGTTCTTGACACACCAAAGCAGTCAACAAACCCAAGCTCAGTCAGGATTGCAAAGGGGGCCAGGAAGACATGATAAGCAGTGACAAAGCGTGGTACCACTCCCCCAGACCCCGGCTTGCTGGTTAGGGTTAGAATGGCCCGGGCATGGGGTCAGTGGTATTTCCTCTGTGTCCCAAGCAGCCGGAAAACCGGGAGAGTCATCCTGTGGGCTTCACAGTCTTGCTGGGAGGACGGAACGGGGCCATATCCATGAGGCATTCTGCCCAGCGCCGATGGGCAGTGCTCGAGGTAATCAGAAAGTTGGGTCTGCACCTGGCCCTGCCATCCCCTGCCTCGTCCATCCTTCAGTCTCAAATAAGACCTTCAGAATGTTGCCTGATTGCTTATCTTTTTTCTCTCCCCTGCCATACAGGGTTCCTACTTTATACCCTGCGTGTGTTGCACTGGGGCCCCTGAACGCACTGACGCTCTCACTTCAAACCCTCGTCTTCTACCTGCTCCGTTCGGAGACATGTATCTCATTTCCTTCCTTGTCTCCAGCGCTCAGCCGTCTGGCTCTAACAGCCCTCCCGCCTAGTGAGGTATGGGTGAGAGTCACGTCTATAATTTACTGACTGTAATTTACACACTTACTATAATTGCTGATTTGTTATTGTTGTCTCTGCTATGCAGTCAGATTCATGAAAATAGAAGCCGTATCCATATTTGTTTTAACGTTAAACGCTTTGAAATCCTACACTGTGTCACCCTCAAGCCTTACTATGCGCCAGGTACCTAGTTCATGAGACACAGGGGTCCCCTGGGAATTAGAACCTCAGGGTAGGCCAGGGGTAGGTGATTCGGTGTTCACTGTGTTGTCCAGGTCCTGTGAACAGCAAGTGCTACCTTCATGATTGACAGCTGAATGGGCTTCCCCAGAACCAAGCATGGGCCCCGACAAAGGGGAGCCCTCACACACTGTTTGCTGGACGAACGAATGAACAAACCATCCAGATTCACAGAGACAACTCTCCCCGATGTTTCTGTATCACAGAACTCGTAGAGAAGGATAGTATTTCAATGGCCCACTGGCTAAACAGAAAAGGCTTCTCATGACAGAGACCACCCAAGTGCCCCTCCCGGCCCACCTGTGTATTGGCCCCGGAAGGTGACCCTGTCTGGACGTCCGGTGCCTCCCACTCTTCTCGTTCCAACCCAAGCTGCCTGAGGGCTGTCCTCGGCGGTCCTGCCCTTCTCAGAGAACAGCCTGGGGGAGGTTGGCTCAGATTCGGAACCTGGGGTGGGAAGAAGGGCATCAGAGGGGGCAGGGGGCGGGGCCACGTAGCTCAGGGGACGGGAGTGGGCGTATCACATGTCCAGGCTGGGCAGAGCTTGGTTTTTAAACCCAGATCTGCCCCTTAGTAATCGCAGATGGGGTATCTGGATCCCCGAGCTTGTGCTAAGTGCTTTGCCTGCTCCGTGTCATGTACTCTCACAGCAATCCCAGGAGGCAGACGCTATAATCACTGCACTGTTAGCTGTCACTTAACTGCACAGGGCAGGTAAACAACCAGACCAAGGTCACACAGCTAGGAAGGAGCGAGCTGGGGCTGAATCTTGGCCGCTGATTCCAGAGCTGTGTTCCTTTAGGCAAGTCCCCTGTGCTTTTGAGCTTCTATGTCCTTATCTGCAGAATGTGGGTAATACAACCCAGCTTGCAGTGAAGGTTAAGGAAGATGACACACATATGCACAAAGCCCTTACAGAAACCGTAGCACATAGTAGGTGCAAAGCATACGGTGGCTATCACTGGAAATGCATGGTGTTTCAGAGCAGCACAACTACCTAAAAAAGACACACAAAAACCTTCTCCGCGTTTCCTCTAGGACTCTTGCTGTGGTCCCTGACCACTGAGCCAACATGCCCAGATGGCGGCGTACAGAAATCAGTCCTGGCAGATGGTCACTTACTCAGGGACAGTTGGGGCACCTCCCGAGGCACTGAGGAGGACCTGGTTCGCCGCCTTCCCGCAGGGACAGCTTGCTCTGCACCCCCAGGCTCACCAGACAATCTCTCTGTGGATTTGCTAGTAAGAGGGAGAGAGAGATGATGTCACTGGATGAGGCTTCATGCAGCCTTTAAAGATGATCAGTGAAAAGGCCAACCCAGAGAAATGCACACAGAAAGAGGAGAGCACAAAAATCAAAACCAAAGACTCTGGAGTCAGACTCACAGAAAATGGCCCTGAGCCTCTCTGACCCTCAGTTTCCTCATCTGTCAAATGGGGATTATAGGAGCAATTACTTCAGAAGGTTGTTGGAAGGATTGTGAGATGATATCCATGAAAAAACCTTAACCTAGTGCCCTCCAATAGAAACACTCAGAAGTTAATTAAAGATGATTTTATAAGTCTTAATAAGTGAATAGCTACTGAGTGAGTGGGTAAGAAGGTGAGCATCCTGGAAATGTTCTAGCTCCTCACTTGGCTAGTGAGTCAGAGATGTTCACTGTATCATGCTTTATTATTAACACATATGTTTCGTATATTCTTTTATGCATCAAATATCACACGGTAAAAAAAGAATGTAAGAGTGAATGAATGAGTGAGTGAGTAAGTGAGAGCGGGGTGTGGCTATGCCTGAATCCTCAAGTCTGGGGAGAGCCAGAGGCCGGCCACCTCTACCTTCTGCAGCTCCCACGAAGGCACAGGGATGGGAGTTTGGGGTCACCCACCTGCCGTAATGGGAGCCCCACGTGGCCGAGGAACCCGCTAGCCGGTCCCGGGCCCGGGCCCGGGCGGGGCAGTCGAAGCTGGATGCTGGGCGTGTTGGGCTGCCCTGCGGGGGCTGGTGCAGGCTGTCCTCCAGCCGCAGACGGAGCCGGGATACCTCCTGTTGCAGCTCGCGGATGGCCTGGCTGGGGTGGAGACAGGAACAAAGAACAGACACACAATGAACAGAGCTGCAGCCACTGCCAGGGTGCTGCCCAGATGCCCCGGTCTTGGTCCCTTTCCAGCAAACACAGTCCAACCCTGCTGTCAATTGATTCTCGAACTTCCTCGTGTGTCCACCTCTCTGAGTTCCTGCTCCTGCACATTTGGGGAACAGAGCAGAACTTTCTTTGAGGTTTACCCAACCTAGCATGCGGAGCCTCTGAGTAACTGCTCTGAAACACCAGTGACAAATTCTCAAGACAGAGGTGAGGACGCAGAATGGAAAGGGCATTGGCTAAAGCTGCACTTTAAATTTTGAATTCTGACCTGCCTCAGCCCCTGGGCTGCCCTCCTCTTCTTCTGCCTCCGTCCATAACTCGAACTATCCATCCAGGCTTGGTTCCTTCCTGCCCTTCGCAGCGCCTCCTTCCTGGGTTCCCCCAAACATTTCCTATGTTGTTTAAGACCATCTCTTTGCTCCTGGCAGAAGATGCTTGTCTGTCTGTCTCCCTAACCAGACAGCGAGCCACTGGCAGGCAAGGAGCGGTCCTCCCCATCTCACAACCCCTGAGAGCCTTACACCTCATAGATGCTCAGGGAATGTCACTGAATTGGCATCCAGGCTCCAAGAGGGAGCAAAGTAAAGATGTGTGCACAGAGAGGGGACAAGTAGACACACCCATCACCACATGCATGTGAACAGACTGGAAGCTGCAGGGGCACTATCTGCAAGGCTGCTGTCATCCCAGGGAAGCCTCCAGACAGCCCAACCTGTGACTGGCAAGATATCTCATGAGCCGCTAGCACTTCTGGAGTAGATCCTGTTTGCATTTCTCTCCACCCAGCCCCTGAATCTCTAGAGTCTCGTTCTGAGGGCACCGCAGGCATTGCGGCAGCCAATCCCACCCAGATACCCTTCCCCCAAACCCTGACACACGGGACATCAGAGGCTGGGCTGGGCTGGGCGTCCTCCAAGCCAATGCAGACTCTACGTCTACTTCTTGGATCGGCTTCTGGGGCGGTGGGGGAGGTTCCCCTCGGATTAATTCTTGCCTGGTGGCCCCGGGATTCGTGGGTGAATGTCTCCTGGTGCCACCTCCAGCAGACATCAGCTCTCAGATGGGTGTGCCAGGAGCTGGAGATCTCTCTCTGGCTGTGCCCTGGTGCAATGTGCGTCCAAGGGCAGTTGGTTTCCTTGGCAATTCCCAGGGAGACTTTTGTTAGGGTTTCCAAGGCAAATCATGAGGGTGGCAGCCACAGGACTGTGAGAACTCCAGTCACCAGTTAACCCCTGAAAGGCAGGGCTGAGGCTCCGTGCTGCACACAGGACTGGGTGGCTCTGGCTCCAAGTACAGGCCACAGGCTGCTGAACGAGGGCCTTGGACAAGTGACCCCTTGGGTGTCAGTTGCCCTCTCTGGCTTGTTTCTATCAGGATCTCTGTCTTCCTGACTTAATCCTTTAGTGCCTGAGTGCCAGCTGGCACTTAAAATTCATCTTTCCTTGCAATTTTACTCCCCCTCCTAGGTTCCCCATCCCCGCCTCAGCATCCAGCTGGTTGGCCAGCCAGCAATCCGAGTTATTCTAAACCCTTCTCCTTCCCTGAACCCCCCCAAAAGTTAACCAACTCCCAATGTGGGCCCAATGCCTAATTATCCCTTCTCAAATGCACCCCCCTTTCCTCCCCACCGGCCCCATAATCTCTCTCCTGGGTGAGGCAGCCTTCTCAGCAGCCCCTGGCCTCCATTCTCACCTCATAGTGGCCAGAGAATTCTTTCTAAAATATAAACCCAACCATGCCACTCCCTTGCTTAAAGTTGCCCTCATGGTCCTTAGATGAGACTTTCTATTTTTTTTTTGAGACTTTCTATATTCACAAGTATTCAGTGAACACATTCTCTGAGCAGAGCCATCATCCACACCTCTAGCCACAGGTTTGAGTTCCTCCAAGATCCCCAGGTCTCCCCTTCTACCTCTCTGCTTCTGTTAACACCCCACCTCACACTTGAGGGTCAGGTAACATAAATGTTTGGTGCTTAAAGGTGGCAGATGCTCTCTCACCTCTGGGCCTTTGCACATGCTGGTCCCTCAGCTGGGGATACTCTTCCTTCTGGCCCCAGCTGAGATACCATTTCCTCCGGGAAGCCCTCCCTGAAGCCTCTGACTGGACTAGATGCCCCTTCTCTGTGCTCCCACATTCCTTCGGGCCTGTACCATCACTGTACTTATCATGCTAGGGGTGCAAACACCAGTTTCTTGGCCCATCCTACAAGATGGTGAGCCTTGTGAGGTCAAGGACTTTCTTGTCCACTATTGTATTCCCAGGGGCTGATGTACTGTAGGCAAATAAGCCTCTAATTCCTATGCTGATGTCAGAAGAGACTGCAGGAGGACTTATTAAATTCAGGCCTGGAAGCCAACACCCCAGCCCAACAAAGGCATGTGATTGCTTATTGGTCAAGAGCAACTCAGAGGAGGAGTAAGAGGACTGGCCAGCTCTTTTCCTATTGCTGTTTAATGGAGCAAGGAGAAAACTTTCTCAGTAGAAAAACTGCACTTGGATTAAAAAGAAAAAATTGAAAAAGCAGTCTCTTCTCAGTTCATACAATGAACGCATAAACTGCAGGAAACACACCCCTGGGGGGTGCAGACCTGTCTTGGAAGGGAAATGTTGCAGGGAAGAAGAGGGGTCCTAGCAAGGTGAACTTCTAGGTCATTTCCCACTGGCTGGAGTAGTGTGTTCAAAGTCTATGAGGTCTATCACCGAGGTCCCCCGGGAACAGTGCTGCACTGGGAGGCAGGGTGCCTGGGCCTGTCTGGCCTCAGCACAGCCACCACTGGATGGAGGCCCGAGGAAGCCCCTGTCTCCTGCAAGCATCCCCCTCCCATCTCTGTGATGACCTTGAATCTGCAGCGCCCACGTATCTGACTTACTCTCGCCCTGTCCTGGTGAGGAGGAAAGTGGAGGTGGTCTCTGTCGGTCCACGGGGTGGGACAGCCTCCACAGGGGCCGGAGTCGGGGATGGGCTGATTGTCATGCTGTGGGGAAGCTGTTCAGACATCTGCCTTCGCCCCTTGAACTCTGAGCCAGGAACCGCTAGGGAAGCAAAAAGAGACCAAAGTGAGTTTATGCAGAGGGGACTCTACGTGTGAACTTGTGTGGGTGGAAGGATGGAGGTGAAGAGATGGGGCCCAGCTGAGTTTGCAAATGAAGTTTGCAATGACTCACTGACCTTAAAACCAGAAGAAGAGGTGGTTTTTGCTGGGAGCTTGGGGTGCAAATCTGGGCCTGCAGATCTGCTTGTAACTAGATTCCCCCCGCCCAACCCAGTCCACCATTTCAGCATCAGATCCAAGTCTCCAGGGCTTACCTCCTTCAAAGAGCTCCTCGCTCCTTCTTATGGGCCCCCAGATTCTGGGCATCACTGTGTTGTTCTGGGACCAGCTTTGGAGCCTCCAGCTCCCTTTAAAATTAGTCCCACCTCTACCTGTGTAAATGTCTTTTGGGGGAGCGTTCAGAACTTTAACTAGCCTCTCAAAGGGATGGGCGACCAGAGGTTACAATACGCTCATCTGACCCATGCATCTGAAACAATGAGCTCTTGCAATATTACTCAGCAAATATAGAAAGGAACAAACTATCGACTTATGGAACAATCTAGATGAATCTTCAGAAAATTATGCTGAGTGAAAAAGAAGCCAATTCCAAAAGGTTATATCCTATACGATTCCATTTATACAACATTCTCAAAATGACAAAATTATAGAAATGGAGAACAGACTAGTGGTTACCAGGAGTTAGGGAGGAGGTGGAGGCAGAGGCAGGAGGGAAGTGAATGTGTCTATAAAAGGGCAACGTGAGGGATCCGAAGGTGGTGGAAATGTTCTGTATCTTGACTGAACCCATGTCAATATTTGGTTGTGACATTGCACTATGGTTTTGCAAGATGTTATTACTGGGGAAAACTGTGGGGGAGGGCACTGAGGATCTCTGCTTATCATTTCTTACAACTGCATGTTAATCTTTAATTAAACTTTTAATTAAAGTCTAATCAAAAAGTTTTAAACGGTGAACCTTAAAAAGAGGCAAAGGAATATACGTATGTATATGTATGACTGAAACAGTATGCTGTACAGCAGAAATTGACACAACATTGCAAACTGACTATACTTCAATTAAAAAAATAATAAAAGAAATTTTTTTAAAAAGAGGCAAAGCTAGTCTGAGGGGTCAGAAGTTGGAACAGTAGCTACCTTTGGGAGGGATGGGAGAGACTGGGAGGCGCTCGAAGGGGGTCTGCGGTTTGGATTATGTTGAGTTTCTTGGTCTGTGGTCACTTTGCGAAAATTCATCAATTGATGTTCTTTCCTGTATGTTTGTCTTACTTTTTTAAAAAAGTTCACATGCACTTTTTAAGGTTAAAAAACTAAATCATGGATTTTATAGACATGGGAAGTGTGCATGACACAATGTTCAGTGAAAAAGAGGTTATCAAACAGTCATGTATAATACCCCATTTCCGTTTGAAGTTTATGTGAACAAACACACACACACTGGCATAGAAAACAGCTCACAGCTTCTACACCAGAACATCAGCAGTGACGGTTTTTAGCTTATTGTTTTTCCTTTTGTTCCCTTTTGTCCACCTTGTCTGTAATTTCAAACTTTTCTACAATGACCCTGTATGATATTTTGTATCTTAAAGGATAATGCAAGTTTTCTTGTTAGTTTGATTCTTTTTTTTAACCCATGCAACCCCCCAGGTTCTGGCCAACCCAGACACGTCCACTCACCCATCTCGGCCGCCAGTGCCCGCTCCAGACAGAAGCTGGACGCCCTCTGCCGGAGAGGACTGTCCTGGCCAGACGGGGGCCTCTGGGCTCGGCTCCTGGGTGTGCTGGGCTCAGCGGCTCTTCTGGGAACCGGAAGACCCCTGGTCTGGCGGTGGGAGGCTGCGTCTCGGGGCTCAGATGGAGTGAAGGGCTGGCCTAGTGTCCCTGGAGTACTGGGGGACCATGGAGGGAGAGACATGTTGAGGTCACACAGAAAGAGGCCACAGCCTCTGAGCCCCTCCACATGCTAAACCACGAGTTCCCACCCTTTGGGACCTGGCACCCCTGGGAGTACAGTATTTTTGCAGATGCAGCCCCAGGATACCTGCGATTCTTTGTAAAGTGCAGTGCTGTGCACCTGGCCTACTCATACATTCAAAATTATAAAGTTCCATTTAGTTTTTAGACCATATACGAAGAAATGGAATTTGTAATCCCTTCTTCGCATGCAGCCCTGGGTGGCCCGAGGGGCCTGCATCCAGCTTTGGAGGCTGTCACTCTACATGGTGGCTCTGTCACCCCACCCTTCACCAGAGCCTCCTCTACCCTCTCTCTCCCCTTTGGGTTCCAGCCCAGTCTCCTCCCAGGTAGCCGCCCTGATTATCCTTTATCCTTGTCTTCTGCTCTCCTCACGCCACCCTCGCTATAGCTCTTATTTACTCATCATTTCATCATCCATTTGCTCAACAAATATTTATTTTCCTGTCTGCCGATAACTGGCAGAGTAATGCTGGGCAAATCAGTCAGTTTCCCTCTCTGAACCTCAGCTCTCCTCTATCAGTAAGATGTGGGCAAGGACCCATCGCTGAGGGGATGAACGGCAGGCTCTGAGCATGCTCAGACCATCTGCCCCTGATCTGGGCTCACAGGCACTACACGAGGCATGTGACACTGACAGTCCCGCGGTGAGGGTCCCCAGGATACCTGATGTGGGAGAGCCGGTGCTCTGGAGTCTGAGTGAGGGGCGACACTCTGCTGGTTTCTGAGCCCACAAAGCCACTGTCTGTCTCGGGGGATGCCATCCAGGGCTCCTGAAAGAGGCAGTGTCCCTTTAATCTGAGGAATGTGCCCGAGGCACACTGGGAAACCCTTCCCAAGCCCTGGCCTGAGGCTCACATTCCTGGCCCAGCTCCCGACATCCAGGCCCCGGGTGTGAGGGTCCTCGGGTGCTCAGGACCCAGCACGAGCTCCAGGCCAACAGCAGGGACTCCACACCCCAAGAGGACCCTGAGCAAGTCCCACTTCCCTGAGAAGTGGGAGCCAGGGCCCTTGGAAGAGATACTGTGGCGGATTTCCTGAGCTGAGGAATAGAAAGAGGAGGAGGAGAAAGCAGTCCCATGGAGGGAATGGGCGTCTCATGTCCACGCGTCTTCCAGCGTGGGCCTGGAACGCCGCGGTCCGAACTGACTGCAGAAATGCCCAGGCCCAATGAATGGGGAAAATAAAATTAGTCAACACGCACATTTTCAACGCACTGCGTCTTATGCAAGGAGCAAAGATCACAGACAGCAACACAGGTGCCTGCCCTCGGAGTTCATGGTCTAGTGCAGTCTCCTTACCATGGGCTCATTAGGACCATCAGTGTGTGTATGTGTGTGTGTGTGTGTGTTGGTGTGTATACACATGCCTACGTCTGTGTCATTCTAAGGGAGGATCCATCACATAAGTCACATTTTCAGAGTGATCTGTGACTCCTACAACAGTTTAAAAATTGCTATTCTCATGGTACAAATGGCATGGAGCCAAAGACTCCCCTCCTCTCCCCCAGCTGTGCTGAGCAGGCTCAGAAACATACAGGCGTGGTGCTACAAGCTCTCTCAGAGGAGGACAGGAGCTCCCGGCAGAGGGACAGGGGCACAGGCAGACATGGCAGAGGGGCACTGGGCCTAAGCCCTGAAAGCTGGGCAGGACTGTGACTGGCAGGGGCGGGAGCAGCAGGCATTCTGAGCAAAGGCCTGGAGGCAGGATGCTCCGGGAGGCGCAGGGCACTGAGGCTCTGAGCTCAGACCCCTTGTGGACACTTACCTCCTGGTGGGGCCCACCAGCCTGGCACAGAGACTTCTGTGGAAGGCGCTCAGAGATGCCACTTCCCTCTAGGCTGGTCAGACTGCCCTGGTGGGACGCCACAGAGGACTTGGTGCCCCGAGGGTGAGGGTGCCTGCTAGGGCCTGGAGGAGCTGCCCCGGCTTTGTCCAGGCCTTGCAGGTGGCTGTCTCTGGCCATGGATGCATGGAAGTCTGCTGGCTTCACGGGTGCCATCTGCTCCACAGTCCCCCTGGCAGGGAAGGAGAGGCATGCCAGCCCTGAGCTCAGGCAGGGGCCGGGCGGCCCTGTCCCAGGAGCAGCCATGCAGTCCAGGGCACACGCTCTGGAGTCAGGCACCCCTGCACGCCCACCCTGGTTCTGCCATCTTCTCGCTGTGTGACTTTGGGCAAGGCACCTCCCCTCTCTGAACCTGTTTTCTCAACTATAAAATGGAAATGTCAACAAAACCCACTCAATACACCGCAGCGGAAATAGTGTGGAAACAGATGAGCTAAGGCATCATTTCCCAGGCTTCTGGAATTTGCCTTCCATCTTCCCTATTCCAGCCATTTCCATCAACTTCAATCTACTTAAAAAGACTTCATGTCACTATTATAAATAGAAGACCAGTATTCTGTGTTACAGATAGAAGCTAACTTTGGAAACAAATACAAGAACATGAAAACAATATAGTTACTGTCTGGAGCCTGCTAAAGGTTGTGGGCCTGAGGCCTGCTTGCTTGTTTCCTCTCTTTAAAGGAGGATCAAGAGAGGCACTGAAGACTTAATAACCCTAACTGAGACTTTCTCCTTGATGTATGTGGAATGTCTGAGATTAGAAAGTGGGTAATGTTATTCTTCATTTTTTAATGGAGGTACTGGGGATTGAACCCTGGATCTAAGCATGCGCCCTACCACTGAGCTATTCCCCTCCCCCGAGAGTAACATTATTTAATGCTGCATCTGTCCTACCAGACTTCCCATTCCCCCCCCCAAATAATTTCAAGTGCTATCAATAGTATACGGTCCATGTTTTGAAGAGACACTGAGCTGAGTCAGGAAAGCCATTTCTAACGGTGAAGAGCTGTCTAGCTCGTTCTGACAATTACCACCCCTGTGGTTTCTGAGTTGGTATGGGACAAGCAGGGGAGGCTCACGGACATACTCGAGGGAGCCCCTGTGACTTCTCTCAGCCTGTGCCGGGAGCTGCCTGGTGGGGAGCCTGGTGGCTGCTGCTTTTCCCGGAGCTGGAGCCGGCCCGTCAACTTCCAGGGTGCGGTCCTGCCCTCCCGCCTCCTCCTCCTCCATCCTCATGGCTTCTGGGGGGGACTTCACACTGAGGTACCTGCGGAAGAACACAGAGGAGCGTCACTGCTGCCCAGCAAGGCCAGCAAGATCCAGCCACTGGGCCACACACCCTGGCCCTGCTCCCGGTGGGCACTCACCGCTCTAAGAGACCATGGAGATCCTGCTCCACCTGCAGCTCCTTGTGCCTGAGTGGGCCCGGGAGGCCAAGCGGCCTGTCTTCTACCTCATTGCTGGTAGCACTCAGATCCAAGTTCACGTGCAATGGGTGGGGGCCAATGCTGGTGGCATCGGGCTGGGGCCAGAAAGGAGGAGGGGCAGAGAGTCAGCAGATACCTAAACACCACTTTTTAAGGATCTACCTTATGCCAGCTCACGCTGGGTGCTGAAGAGTAAGAAATAGGTTAGAGTCACTAACCCACCACCCTTTTATGTGCGCACAAAAGGGAGGGGCTGGACCATGTGGTCTTCAGTACTGGCTGCCATTAGTTGAGCCCCTGCCATGTGCCCGGCACTGTACAGACATCTCTTCACCACAACCCCACCAGTACGTACAGCTGTTACAAGCCATCTTACAGACAGGTAACTGAGGCTCAAATGACTTGCCTAAAGTCACACAGAAGGGAGGAGCAGAGCCAAGATTTGAACCCAGACTTCCTGCCAGAAGCACCTCTCCTGACCCACTCCATTCCAATATGGACACCCAGCCCCTAAAACTCCTTCACTGTGGGAGCAGGGGAGCCCCTCAAGAGGATGCATTCAGGTCCCACCATCCATGCAGGAGATAGTGCCTGGAAGAGTTCCTCCCCTCTGGGGCAGAGCACGGTGTGTGAGAATGTCCCCCAAAGCTCCGGGCCACCAAGACTTCAGCTGTCATGGAAATTGTCCCAGTGCCCAGCCCTCCAGCAGCTCCCCGCCCCACCTGCCATGCTGGTCCTTTCTCCTGCTCCAGTTGCTAACACAACGAGCCATAGCAATGCCACTGCCACCTGTGTGAGTGCTCTACACTCAGTCTGCTCAACTGCAAAGCACGGATAGTAATCATCTCCCATGGGGTTGTGACATGGACTGGAGAGAATTCTAGAAACTCCCTCCCGTGTACGGCCTCTGTCTGGCGTCTTCCATCTCTATGAATAGTCGCCAGATCCACCCAGGACTACCAGCTGGAAGCCTACAGGTCATCCTTTGCTCTTTTCTTCTCACCATCACTCCAAGTCCAGTCAAATGTACCTTCTAAACCTCTCTCAGGTCTGTGCACAACTCTCCACCTGCGCTGCCACCTCCCCAACTCTGACTGACCTACCTGCAAATCCTTCTTTGCCATCTTCTGCTGAAAAACCCAGCAGAGTTTAAGACCATCCCCTTGATGTGGTCCACAAGCCCTTGTATCATGGGACTCCTGCTTGTCTCTCCAGCCACATCTCTCAGACAACTGCCCCCCTCGCTGTCCATATCTAGCCACAGGGCCTTTGCATAGGCTGTTTTCCCTGCAAGATGGCTTATTTTCTTCTGCACCAAGTAATTCTTACTCACCCTCGGATATCATTTAAATGTTGCTTTCTTGAGGGAAATTTCTCTGATCTCCTAAGCACAGATATGTTACCCTGTTACCTACTCTCACAGAACCCCACAATTCTCCTTCAGAGCACTGAACAAAATTATAATTAAGCAACTAACTAGTTCAACTGGATAGAAAACTCCATGACGGTAGAGACCACCTATTTTTTGTTTGTGTGTTTTCCACTGAACTTCCACCGTGTGTCATGAGCCCTGGCACATGGTACAAACTTCACAGATGTGTAGTGAAGAAGTCAATTAATGGAGAAAAGAATGAATGAAGGGACAGTCCAGTATGGTTGGGCAAAGAGGTACCTCGGGGCAGAGTGTCTGGATGGCTGGTGTAGGGGCTTGTTCCAAAGGAGAGGGCAGGCCTGCTGGCTGCTCAGGGGAGGGCCCGGCTGGGGGGCTGTCCAGAGCCAAGTCTGATCCGGCTCGCTCAGGCTTCTGCTGGTTCTGGTCCACATGGTCCTTCAGCTCTTCCAAGCGAATTCCCAGCTGGAATATCTTTGCTTCCAGCTCCCTGGAAGGAGGACACATCAGCACTGGGAACCTGGTCAGCAGCCTCATCAGGCAGGTCTGGGAGGCTGTGCTTCAGAGCAGAGGCCCCAGAGATGCCCACAGAGGGTCCACCTGATGTCATCATATAGATGGCATGGGGAGCAAAATAAACTAAATAAAAGTGGACTCCACTGGGAATAAGGAGGCCTCAGCCTGAGTTCTCCATGCCACCAACTGGCTGTGGGATCCTGAGTAAGTCCCTTCCCTCTGTGGCCTCAGTTTCCCCATTCTCCAGTGCAGGATTTCAACCCTTATCTCCAAGGTCATCTCCCACTGCAGGAGTCCAAAAGGACACAAATCTTAGCCTTGAAGTATCCCCCATCTGGATATGTTGTTAATTGGGATAGGATTTCTCCCTGTTCCCCTAGGGTGTGAATTAAGATGAAGTGCGCCCCTCCTGGTGCGACCCGAGGGCCTGCCCCATTTGTCCTCAGGGCCTCCCTCCCCAGCATGTACCTGCCAGGATCGAATTTCCCAGGCGCTCCCTTGGATCCGGCAAGCTGCTGGGCCAGGTGCTGCTCCCTGCAGGCCTTCAGGTACTCCTCCTCCAGGGCAGTGTGGGCAGCCTTTAGCCGCTGGAAGCCCTGAAACCAGACAGGCCAGGAAGACGTGAGTGTCCAGACCCTGTGGGCTCCATCCCTGCAGACACAGTGGACGAGACAGCTCATGGGGGGACCGTGTCACTCATTCAGGGAGAGGCAGGCCCCTGCGTATCTGGAAGTCTGAGGTTGGTAACCTCTGGGGTCTGCTTGCCCTGGTCAAGCTCTCTGCCATCAGACTGGCACAGCAGAGGCACAGCTCAGAGCCTTGGACCAGCTCCAGAGGGTAGCAGTCTTTCCTGGGTAGACCTATAAGTACCCCGATGTCCCATGACAGTCATAGTGTCAAATATGCTATCATTATGTCCCCATGAGGACCTAGAACTTGAGAGATCATAGATCCTCATCCTTGATTTTCAAAACTGTGGATTTTGGAACATTAGTCACTCTTTTCCCAAATCCATATAGATGATCACACACATGGTGCTGTCATCACCATCATATTGTTGATAATGATAACTAACATTTACTGAGCACTGAGGCTCTGTCTACAGCCCTGTGCATTATTCATTTAATCTTCAACATAACCCCAATGAGAGATGTAATGTACCATCTTCATTTAAACAGGAGGAAACTGAAGAACGGAGAGGTTACTTAACTTGGTGAAGGTCACACAGCAAGTGAGCAAGTTGCAGATATGGCGCCAGGCCTTCTAGCTCCAGGGTTCATGGTGCTAACAGTTAAGCTTGGCCCCCACAGCATTTATGGCTAAAGCTACAGGAGGTAGGATCATTATCTCTGGCTTATTATCAGCCTTATCTCATTCATCCTATACTGATGACAGACTGAGGCCAAGGACAACTTACAGTCCAGACCCCAGTCAGGATTGATCTTCCAACACCTCTCAACCTCCTTGGACATGGGGACATTAGGAGAACAGGGAAGAGAAAGGATGGTTTTGATTTTCAAGGTCTTTGATCATCCACTCAATGAAATAATATAATACATATCACACACTTTGTAATAGGAGACTGTATGTCACATTCTACATAATAACAGTAGTTAGTAACAGAGTAATAACATAGCAAAAATATCCAGGAAGTGCTGCGTTGCATTTCCCCTCCCAGCCCTCCCTCAGCTCCCCTCCCCAGCCTGCTCTGTGCCTCGAGCATCAGCTGGGCTCCCTACCTGCTGGCTTCCCCTGGGGTCTGTCCAGCAGGAAGCATCTATTTAGAGGTCATAGCGTGGTAGGACAGAGACCTGGGAGGGAACAGCTCTGGGCAGGTGCTAGTCCTTGGGTTTCCGTGTTCCTTCTTGGACCCCTGAGGCTCCCCATTCCCTCGTTAACAGCCCCTTCACTGAGCCCTACACTTGCAGCTTTGAGAGCTCCATCTGCTCCTTCCTGGGACCCTGGCTAAGGCAGCAGAAATCTAAATTTTATATATGACTGTAGTTTGGTATTTGGTATTTTCTAGAAATACCAAAGTCCAGAAGGAAATAAGCCAATAATGGTTAGATTAGGGGTCTCTTCGCCCTTTTCACCCTGGTTTTCAAATGTTAGTAATTTCTTTTATAATAAAGAAAATTTAAAAAGAAAATTATTCTCCTGGTTGCTGAGAGGCAGGACAATGGGTGGGAAGCTCCTCGGGGCAGTGATCACAACCCTGGACCTGGGATTCAGACAGACCTGGGTCTGGGCTGTGCCACTTACTGGCTGTGCGCCCTTCAAGTTGCCTTTCCGGGCTTCAGTTCATCCCAGTTAAATGCGGGTGATGACTGTAACTACCTCCCTGGGTTTTTATGATGCTATAATGAAATACTGTACATCGAGGGCTTCCCACAGTGCCTGGTGCACCACCGCGGTTGCTTCATCAGTGGTGACTCTTGTGATACAAAGATCACTGTCATGGAAAGCTCCGCAGCAGCTGTCCTGAAAGGAGACCCTGTGTCTGGGATCCTCTGGTCTGTCTTGCAGCAAATGAGGCTTGAGAGCCCGAGCTGTGGGAGACAGAGCAGTTGTCTAACAGCTCCACGGGCGTCTCCTAAAACGGGCAGGCAGTACCTTGAGCTGGTCCCGGGGCGCCAGCTGTCCTGCTTGTATCAGTTCTACAAAGGACTCCACCTGGGCGTTGGGAGGGGAAGGAAACACTCTCCGTTAGTCCAGAATCTGGAAGATGAGTTCTGCAGACTCCCACACTTCGCCCCATCATGCTTTGGCTGGAAGAGCTGGACCTCACCTTGGGGTGTGGGTTTCCTGACAAGCACGGAGGGGCAGGTGCCAGAAATCGATGCTACCATGCCATGGTAGCCTTGGGAAAAACCAAAGCAGAACCTCTAGGAAGTTATTGACAGCCAGGTGCACTCACTCATGTGCATGAAACCTATAAAGCAGGGTATTTACTGCAGCATGGTGGTGGTGGGGCAACAGGAAGCAATCTAATGCCTATCCACGGAATAGTGCAGCCCTCAAGAAGAGGATGGCACATGTATTTGTTTTCATATATAAATGCCTTCAAGACCTGCCTTTCAGAATCAAGTCAAGTTTTAGGACAGTGTTTATGGTATGCTACCATCTGTATAAAATATAGGGAGAATAAAAAAATACAAAACAGTTGCTTATATACTACAAACTAACTCTAGAAGGATGCAAGATACTAAAATATTAAGTGCTTCTGGGGAGGAGAACTGGGTGGTGGGGGGTCAGGGACAGGAGGAGGGTTATCTATTATACGTATCCTCTGAACTTTGAGCAAAGCAAATTCATTGTCTACCCAGAAGTAAATATTCAAATCTGGGACCTTAAAAAAATCAAAATATGGCAGGAGAGGGTACTACTCCCCCCCAAAAACATTTTTTAAAAAATCAAGCTACAGTACACCGTACACACTTATGTGACCATTTCTATAAATGCATGTGTGTGCATTAAATGTTTTTCCATGAAGCAGAAAAGCAAGAGTGAGAGAAAAGACTTCACTGAATATATTCTTTGTTCTATGTGAGGGTCTTTACCATGGGTATCTATTACCTTTACAAAAAATTTTTTAATTAGGAAAAAAAGGCAAATATGACTTGGGGATTGCTAGGCAAGCTCTAGCTCAGTGCCAAAATATAATACAGAAATTTATCTAATATAATTACATTACATTATATAATTATATGACATACAAAATAGAAATGTAAAGCAAGCTACATATGTAATTTAAATTTTTCTAGTAGCCATACTAAAAACATGGAAAAAAGGCAGATTAATTTTAATAAACTATTTTATAAACCTAAAATATTATTTTGACATGTAATCAATGCAAAAAAGTATTAAAATACTTTATATTCTTTTTGTCGCATAAAGTCGCTGAAATCCAGCATGTTTTGCACTTACAGAACATCTCAATCTGGACTGGCCACAGGTCAAGTACTCACTAGCCATGTGACCAGTGCTCCTCTGTCGGACAGTGCAACGCTGGATCATTGGGGTCAGCTGGTGCCCTGGCTCCTGCTCAGTGTGGTGACCTTGGCTTTGTTTCACAGCACACAGGACAAGGAGAAACATTCTCTCCAGTTGCAGGACCCAGAGAGTGGTGACAAAAAGGAATAAAGTACTTGTTCATGCTGCTACAAGGCGGATAAGCCTTGAAAACGTTATGTTAATTGAAAGAAGCCAGACACAAAAGGACAAATATAACATGAATCCATTTATATGTAATATCCAAAATATGTAAACCCATACAGAAACTAAATGGGCAGCTGCCCGGGGCTGGGGGTAGGGGGCATGGGGAGTGATCACTTAGTGGCTTAGTGGATAAGGAGTTTCTTGGTGCGTGACAAAAATGTTCTAAAATTGATTGTGATGATGCCTGCACAACTGTGAATATAGTGAAGAAAAAAAAAAAACCCTGGAAGCATTAACCTTAAATGACTGAACTGTATGTTATGTAAATTATATCTCAATAAAGCTGTTACTAAAAAAAAAAAGAAAGAAAGAAAGAAAGAAAAGAAAGAAAGGAAGGAAGAAAGAAAGAAAAAGGGAAAAGAACGGTAGTGTTTCTCTGCAGGAATTTGTTTCATGGACATGATGATGTAACAATTGCATTTCCCTTTCTGCATTGACAACTAGAAAGCTCAAAGCCAAACACGAAACTGATAAAAAGTTCAGGGTCCAACGGAATATTTTGTTTATTCACTTCTCCCTAAGTTCACTTTATTTTTCTCCTACCCTTGCTTTCTCTTTGCCCCAGTTTCCTCACTCCCGTTCTCAGAATGTGGTTACAATGCATGTCTTTTTTAAGCTGCTTTAAAATAAAGCCCTTTTGGAGTAAGGCCAAGTGTATGGTTAAAGACAGACCTGCAAGCAGTCACAGCTATTTGGACTGTTTGATGCAAATGTAGAAGTCCCCCTGAGAAGTAAGGAGAATTGATTTCTGTAGTGAAATAAACTAAGGAAGTGAGGTGATATTCCCCGAAGAGGAAAAGGTGGAGTGGACGTTCCATTACCCTTCCAGAATCCTGAAAACACTGAGTGTCTCCCCCAGGAACGAACTAGGAGGCACTTCAAAGCACCGTTATAGAGACTCTGATGAGACACAATGTCAGAAAGGGAGTTAAACCTAGCACTGGGGGGCAAGGAGGTAGCTGGAGCAGTGTGGCCTCTAAATCCAAGCGGGAGGCTCTGTTTCCGACTTAGCTCCAGCAGGGCAGTGACCACTGAGCTTCACAGAGAGTCACTCAGCCAAAGCAGGCAGAGGCTCCAGGTGAGTTCCACCTATGGTGGGCAAAGCTGGGCTTCCACTCACCTTGGCCAGGAAGCGGCTGGCCTGAGAAGCCAGTTCCTGGGCCGGCTCTGCTGCGGGCTGGTTCTGGATGATACCTGGGTTCTCTGGAAGCCACCCTGGGGTGGGTGCGCTGGGGGACGAGGAGAAGCTCGGATCTCCTCGAGCTGACGGCCACCCTGGAATACACAACCACTAAACATTAGGGCCAAGAACAGTCCTTCCTGGGGCTGAGTGATTGATGCCACGTGTCAAAGCCACCACCTCCACCCTCAAGTGAGCGCTCAGCCATCTCACAATCTTAACACAGGCCAGGGCAAGTGGCCTGGGCAGTACTGCCCCCACTTATTGGAAAGAACAAGGTCTGGATCTGCCCTGGATCACACAGCTAGAGCCAAGCCAGGCCTCTGGGTTCTCAGTCAATAGTGTAGCCTCCAACTCAGAAGGATGTAGGTTCAAATGCAGACCCTTCCCCTGTAGCAGTGTGACCTTCCACGTGTTCTCACTTCTCCAAGCCTTAACTGTAAGTGGGATAGCACCAGTTGGTAACCTCACCAGGTTAACATGGTGGTCAACTGGGATCATACGTGACAAGGCTTGGCTCAGGGCCTGGCCCTCATGTGGGCTCTCCAGTTATGATGCTCTTTGTTACACAGCTCATCTAAGATCACCTAGCTGCTAAATGGCAGAGGTAGGGCTTCACCCAGGCTGCTCTGGCTCAAAGAAAACACTTCACGTCCCCACTTAATTTCTTCAAGTCAAAGGGCCCAGAGAGGGGCCTCACCTCCCTCCCTCCCCTGGCCTGAAGCCAGCACCACCCTAGGGTGCAGAGTCACAGGCAGAGAAGCCCTCCAGCCACATCTCTCCCAGACTCACCTGAAGCTTCAGAGGCCTGTGGGCCCTCAGCGGGGCCTGGCCACCGCTCCACAGAGTGGGGCTGTGGGATGCTAAAGGACAAGACCTTGGTCCCCTGGGGCACTGTCCCCATGTGGATGCTGTGGCTGGGCTGAGGCGGGTCGGAGTACAGGTTCACCTGTCCAGGAGGGAGGCACAGCAGACTCAAGTCAGGGTTGGGGCAAATCCACCCAAAAGGCCTCACCTTCATTCTCAACATCACTCAGGCACTCAACAAACATAACTTGTGATAATAAATACTACCTTTTAGTGGAACCCTTGAGTGGAGGTCAAACACTGGGCCAAAGGCTTACCTATCCTTTCATTCTCTCTTTATGCAGTCCCAGGAGGGAAGAGGACAGGGACTATATGCCCATTTTATAGAAAAGGGAACTGAGACTCAGAAAGGTTGTCACTTACTCAAAATGTCCAGCTAAAAGATTCTTGGCCTGGAATTATAACCCTGCTTTGACCCCAAAGCCTGTGGTTTTCCATATTAATACTTTTATAATAATACTTGTTATAATAATTTACAATATAATCATAAAAATACTGTAATCAATATAGTATTTAATGTGGAGCAAGTATAATTATAATAATATAATAATTAATATTTGTTATTAATAAAAACACTTCGAGTAATTATTATTCCATTGATAATAATGGCAATGAATGGCTGTTTGAATGAATGAGTAAACAGAGTGAAGGAACTAATCTCTCAGTTGTAGCAGATCTCCATCACTTGAGGATCGATTTCATATGATAAATAGTCCAATGTCTGGGAGAGAAGTGAGTCAGGTAGATGGCCAAGGAAGACCACTTGAAGTTAAAGACCCATGTACCGTACAGTGGTTTAAAGTGGTGGGCAAACTATGGGCTGTTTTTATGAACAAGGTCTTGGTGAACACAGCCCCGCTTGCTTGTTTATGTATTGTCTGTGGTTGCTTTCATGCTATAACGGCAGAGATGATACAGCCCACAAAGCTGGAAATATTCGCTATGTGGCCTCTACAGAGAAAGTCTGCTGATCCTGGGTTAGCACATGAGCTCTGCAGAGCCAGGGCTCACATCCCAGCTCTACTACTGCCCTCCTTTGAGTCCTAGAGCAGCTGACTTAATTAACCTCTCTGTGCACAAAGTGAGTGCTCAATAAACAGCAGCCACCACCCTCACACTCATCCTCTTCAATATTATCACTATTACCATCGCCATCATCATCATCATCATCACCATCATCACCATCATCATCACCATCATCACCACCATCACCATCATCATCACCATCATCACCACCATCATCACCATCATCACCATCATCATCACCATCACCACCATCACCATCATCACCATCACCACCATCATCATCATCACTATGTCATTTATGTGGCCATCGTGGAGGCAGGTCCCTAAAAAAGCTACTCCCCTGTGGTGCCTCAGTGTCCCCTCATCCTCATCTTATTGCTCCCTGCTGCCCTAAGGTCAGGAGTGGGCAATTCAGGGTGGGCCTGGTAGAGGGAGCTTCCTAGCCCCTAGACAGGCAGCCTCTCCCTGCTTAAGCTGCTTTTCACGTCCTGATTGTGGCAGGAAAATCTACTCCAAAGTGAGGGACAATGGCCCAGCTGTGGCTTCGCCCCTGCTGCCCCCCTCTCCTTCAGGCCCAGCCTCTGATGAGAACAAAGCTGGATTTTAATAATCCCCTTGGCCATCTGCTCAGGCCTGCCTGTGGGGACTTGCCTACCAGCACCCCTCTCCTCCCAAGGTGACCCAAATCGAGGGGAGGCCCAGCCCTCCTGCGTGCTTCCCTGCCTCATCCCGCTTGTCCCCCAGCCTCAGGCTTGACCCATCAAAGGCCCAGCACAGAAACGAGTGGCTCTCAGCACCTCTATTTCAGCAGAGGACCAAAGGCCCGTGGACAGCCCAGGCAGCAGGGATCTTGGGGGCAGTGAGGGCAACTGTTGAGCTGCTCAGGCCCGTCCCTCCCAGATCTGTCTCTGGACACAACCAGGACCCACACCAGGACCCTCGTTTAAACTGGGGTGTCCCCTGGCCCTCTCTGAGGCTGGATTGGCTCCCTCAGCGGGGTTAAGCAGTGAAGGGTGGACCAGTGAGTATGGGAAACATTGGGTTAAATAACTGACTATTCTCAGCACAGCCGGGTTTCTCACAGCCTTTAAAATGCTAATGGGCTTTATGAATGGGGCGGGGAGTGGAAGGAGTGAAGAGAATAGGAAATGTTTCTCCAATTCCCCAGAACACACAAGCCTCCCTCACCCCCATCCCCACTCCATCCCAACCCTCACCCCCACTCCCACCTCCACCAGGGGCTTCTGGACCAACTGGTGGCCATCAGAACACACACTTTGGGAAAGGCAGTTTTATGTCATCCCTCCAATTCTTTCTGGGATAATTTCTGGCCTCCTCAGCCCCTCCAGATCCCCTTGCAGCTGAGATGGGGGACAGCAGCTGGAGGGGGGTGGCCACAGGGCAGTGAAGGCACGACATCCCCATAAACTCTGGCCCTAAGCTGGTCATCAGGAGTGACTCCTGACCAGCCCAGGCTCTGTGCCCACCCCCAGCCCGGATCTAGTGGTGCTCCCAGGCCAGACCGAGAGACTCCCTGGTCAGTCTCCCCAGCGGCAGAGCCCACAATCGAGTCTGGTTCTGCTAGAGAGCATGGTGTTGAAGCAGGCTTTTGGAGCTAGAATACTGGGCTCAAACCCCAGCTCTGGCACCTACCTGTGGAGTGATCTTGGGCAAATTACTTAACCTCTGTGCCTCAGTTTCCCCCTTGGTAAATTAAGACAGTGGTCAGTAAACATCGCTTACTACTATTGTTGTTATCACTATATCATCATCGTTCTGCCCTGTCCTTAAGCCTCTGCCACATGCCCACTGCCAGGGTCCCATCTGGGCTCACCCAGGCAGGGGGAAATGGTGCCCACTCTGAAACCAGGCAGACACAGGTTTAATTCCCAGCTTCTAGTCCCTGACCAGCCATGCGGATGTCGAGCAAACTGCTCCACCTGGCTGAGCCTGTCTTCTCTTGTGAAGAGGATCGAATGAGGGGTTTCTACCTTCCCTCCTCTGCCTCCGTCACACACTCGGGGGCCTGGGGAGTCCTCCCTGGGTCAAGGGAGCATCCAGGAGACAAGGCACATGGCTGTGCTCTCATTGTGTCCCCCTGCCCGTGTCTACACTGTGAACTCAATGAACACTTTCATATTAATACTATTCATCACGATAATATTCCCTAACTCCTCGGAAGTACCTGCCAGGTGCCAGGTATGCACTTTCTATACACTGACTCATTCCCTTAAATGAGTAAAGGAGGGAGGAAGGCAAGGAGGAAGGAGATGCTCTGAGCCTCGACCTCGACCTTTGGCAACTTCTGCCCCTCCTGGGGTCCCAATTCCCCAATCTGTGAGATGGGAGAGCTGAGGACTTGGACTCGATGACCAGTTCCTTTCTCCTTGGGCCTTCTAGGTCTGCAGCCACGAGAATGTGGTTTGCCCAGAGAAAACGCCTCTCCAAGCCCTCTCGATGGCCCTCCCTACTCCCCCTGTCCCTTCTGCCCCTGAATCTGGCTCAGAAGCTGGGAGAAACCTTAAGACATGGTGGGGGTGGGAGGAGCCCACTGGCTCCCAGGAGGTCTGATTAACCAACCCCCTTTTACCGTTGTGCCCAAGGAGGCCAGGATGGAAAGGACCTGCCTGTGTCAGCAGGAGAAGTCCTGCTTCTGGAATGGGGCCCCTGCTTTTGCTCATCACAGCTGCCTCGGGGTCAGGGACACTTCACGGAAGAAGCACCACTAGGCGGCTAAGAGCAGCGCCCTGCAGGCAGAGAGGTCCTGGACCAGGACGGGGCAGCCAGGGTGAGAGCCCTGAAGGAGGAAGCAAGCAAGAGGGAGAGTCCGCCTCTCGGCACCCCAGCTCCCACCCCTCCCCCACTGCTGCCTGATGGGGCAAGAGGCGGCAAGGGGGAAGCAGGAAGCCATGAGGGGCTGCGACAGGCCCCACTTCCTTCCTCACCCCAGAAAAGGGGAAGGTCTCAAGTGCAGAATTCACAGCCTCGTCCCAAGACGAGGTGAGGACTGGACAGGACGTGGGCAGTGGGTTTCCCCCTCCACACTCCCTGGTCACACTCTAGGCATTCAGTGCGGGGAGCGGGGTACCTGAGGGGAGACGCTGTGGGTGAGACAGTGGGGAAGGAGAAAGGCAATGGTGTGATCTGGGAAGGATCTCCCCCAGGGGCTGCACAGAAATTCTGGGCTACTCCCCTGGGGCTCAGAGAGCCCAAGTAACTTCCTTAAGGTCACACAGTTGGTCAGTAATGAAGCCAGGAGTTCCACCTACGTGGTCTTACCCCGGAGCTCATCTAGGAGAGAGCTTCTGGTGAAACCCCAGATTCTGGGATTCAAGGACATCACAGCTCATCAACAGTAAAGGAGGCTGAGCCTGGAGAGGGCAAGGTCACTGCTCCAGGTCACAGAGGGACCTTGAGGTAGAACAAGGACGGACCAGGTTCTCCTATCCCCAGGGTTTCAGGAGGCAGGAGGCAGTGGCTGCTCTTGAAGATTATGGAAAATTGTCATCCTGGGGACCCTTGGCCGCACCTCCACCCGACAGGGCCCAGTACCTTGGCCCCGAGGCGCAGCTGGTCAATGGTGTTCTCGGCCTCAGCATACTTGGTGAGGAGCTTGTGGTAGTCCTCCTGCGGGAGAGGGAGGCAATGCGGTCACACACCAGGCCCCTCCCTGTGTGAACCCTCGCAGAGAACCCACCCCTCAAAGGGTGCCTCTGGGCTCCTCTGAGTGAAAGAGCTCAGTGGTGGTAGTTCCACAGACCCCTTCAGGCTCACATGCAATACAGACCCTCCACAGCCAAATTCTGGAGCGATGGAGGCTGTAGGACAAATCATCCATCATCCCTTCTGCATCCCTGACAATGGTCAGGGGCGAGGCCCCTGGGCTGGTTTACCTGGATGCGTAACCCCCATCACAGAGGATCCTAGCTACTTGCTTATTTGTCTGAATTCCCTGCCCACATCTCTCTTCTCCACTGCTCTATTCCCAGGAGTTAAGTAGTATGTGCTTAATAAGTATATTTCAATGGCTGATTGAATTGTATAAGGGTCCCTTTGTAGAAAAATCAAAGACTTCAAAAATCACAGCTGCATTTACTCAGAGTCACTACTTGCCATAAACAAAACTGAAGAGGTTCTTAAAACAACTCATCACAAGGGGAAAGGCAAAAACAAGTGTCGCTGGTCGCTTTTGAAGGAGGCTAGGGAAATGACGCATTGTTCTGAAAACTGGTGATTAGCAAGACAGAATCAAGCATTTCTCCTGTCTTTCCCACGTGAACGGGAGACCTTGGTAACCAAATAGGTGATGAAGGAAAGTTTTACTTTATAGAAGATTTCCAGCAAATAGATGGGGAAGGAATGCTAGCATTAGGATACCATACTTTGTCACTCCCAGTGCAAGCCCGGATTGGAGCAATGAAAATCAGTGGCCATTAACACCACAAATGGAAGACCAGCAGGCAGCCCAGGCCTTCTGAGGGCACTATCTCTGATGGGATCTTGTTAAAAAATCCCTATCTGCGTGGAGCTCAAGATCTGGAGGGGAAATAAACAGCCAATTACAACCCCCAAACAGCTCTAGCTCTAACCAGGCAAAACACAGGACAAAGAGAGGACAACGGAACATATGAACAGATACCAGAGGGTGCACCAGCAACCCCCAGAGTGCAGGAGACTCTACAGGACAGACTGGTTTCCTTAATAAATAAATTACAAGGAAGAAAAAAAAAAGGCCGGGATGGGGAGTGGTGGGGAGAGACTTGAAAGGCACACAGACCACATACAATATCTGAGCCGTATTTTGGATCCTGATTCGAACAAACTGAAATAAACAAGTCATTTATGAGACAAAGGGGGAGATGTGAACAGTGACTGGATGTCGGATAATATTCAGGATCGGCGTTAAGTTTTAGGCATGCTGATGGTATGGTTACTTTTAAGAGAGATTCCTAATCTTTAGACATACACGCTAACCTATTTGGGAATAAAATGTTTTAATGCCTGAAATTTGTTCCAAAATACCCAAGCAGAGTGAGTAGGGAAAGAAGTAAGGCCATAGATGAGAAAGGCCGCCAGGGCTCGGTGATGGGTCTGTGGGTGGAAGTTGGGTGTCAGGTACAGGGGGGCTCATTATACTATTTTCTCTCTTTATGTGTTTTTAATTTTTTGTAGCAGAAGTTAAAAACAAACAAACACGGCCAAGCCTTGTAGCATGAGTACAATGGCTGCTCTTCTTGAGCAAAGAAAGGGCTTGGGACTCTCTTCATCTGAGGAGGCACAACCCTCCCTTCACCAGCAGGGGGCTCCTGGCCCAGCCCCGAGGCCCCCAACCCCAACCAGCCTCCAGTCCAGACCAACAGGAGCCTTGATGTAGAAATGAACCTGGCTTACCTGGAGCTGATGGACCAGCTCTGTGGCTTGTTCAGGTGTCTGAAATTCTTGGGGTACCCTGGTGATGGGGTGGGTAGGAGGTGGGTCCTTTCCAGGGCAGACTTCTCCGCTGCTCAGCAGCACCTCCCGCACAATCTCGGCAGGTGACTTGAAAATCAGCGGCCTGGCAGGACTCTCGGGCAGCCTGCTGTGGCTCCTGGCCTTCGGGGGGCGGTAGCTCTCATCTTTGGGGAACTTCACCCGGGGTCCTACCTTGGAGAAATCAGGGAGTGGGTAGTTCAGCCGCCCCCGGCCATACTTAGGGGCACCAGAAGATGAGTGACCAGCCAGAGTGGCGCCTGGCCTGGGCGGTGGCCTGTCCTGCCGAGCTGGCCCAGGTGAGGGATTCATGGGGCTGATGGAGCCGGTGAATCGGGAAGGGAGCGGCTTAGGTGATATCCGTGTCCGTTTCCAGGGCTGGTCCCCGGGCTGAGGGCAGGAGAGGCTGGTAGCTTCTCTCCTCCATCTGTCTGCAGGACACTGGAGGCTCTGGGCTGGAGGTGCTGAGGACTCCTGGAATTCCGTGGGGGTTACCAGAGCAACGCTTCCTCCAGTTCTGTCATTTGGGTTTAGGAGGTGGTGGCTGGGGCTCTGTGGTAAAGATTCTGCCAGGGCAGGGGCCTGGGGGACATCGGTCTCTCCTTCCCAGGTAGAATCGAGACTGTCACTGGGGTGGTTGAGGCTCACAGTTCCACTGCTCCAGGACCTCGCAGAGCTGAAGTCAACAGTTGGGTTGACCTCAGAATGTTCTGGAAGTTTGTCTCCACTGGCTTGATTGCCAGAAGCCACCCTGCCTGTGGGCTGACACCACCCCAGAGCCATGGGGCTGGTGTTCCCATTGCCCCCCGAGCTGAGATTGGTCTCATACCCCAGTCTCGGGGAGCTCTCTCCAGCTTCCTGGACCTCAGCACCTCCCAGGGTCTCATCTGGCTCCTCTTCAGTCATGCCTGGTTGAGGGTCCTGCTGGGGGAGCCAGCCGAGAGGCAAGTTGGAACTTTCAGGGCTGTCCACATCCTCTGCTTCAGACTCTGGAAAGACAGGTCATTGCTTAGTCTATACTAGGGCTGGACACAACTTGTCACACCACCTAGGTCATTTCACCCCTCTGGACCTTCATTCCCTCATCATATGGTGATGGCAAGAAGCCCAGTGACCACCCCCACCCCCCTGAATATGGCCATACACTTACCTAACACCTCCTCTAGTTGTCTCAAAGGTCCTCCAAACTCAAACCTGCTTGTCCCCTTAGTGTTTTGGGAAATGGAAACATCATCCCATCCTGTTGCACAAGCCAGAAACCTGGGAGGCACTTTGCCCACCTCTCCCCCTAACCCCCACAGTCCAATCTGTCACCTGGTCCTGTCACGATTACCTCCTGTGGTGCTCTCAAACTCACCTACTGCTCTAAAGTCCAGGACCACCAGTTTTGCTCGAGCTAACATCCTCTCTTGCCTGGACCACTAGAGCAGTCACCTAAAAATCTCAATCCTCATTCTTGTCGTCCACCTGAAAACTCATCAATATTTTCCTGTTGCTCCCAGGAGAGAGCTGAACCTTTAATACGGTCCTACGGCCCCTGTCTTCACCCCTCATTAGCTTTTCTGATCCATCTTTTTCCATGGTCCCCCTCAGCCTCCCCCTGCTCTAGCCATGCCACATCCTCTCCCACCACAGGGCCTCTGGACGTGCAGATCCCTCTGCTAGGCTCCCCTCTCCCTCCCTTTCCCTAGTTAACTCCTAATTGTCCTTCAGGCATTTGCTCAACATTGACCTCATCAAAGGAGTCTTCTCTGATCTCCCTAACTTGGGTCAAAATCTCCCTTCTATAAGCTTTCATATGACTGAATACCTCGACTTTAAACTACTTACTACAGCTGCAGCTTTCCATTTATTTACGTGATTGTTTCATTAATACTTTCTTCCCTTGCTACACTGTAAGCTCTGTGAGGGCAAAGATACCGTCAGTTTTTGGTTACTGCTGTATTTACAGAGAAGGTGCTCAATATTTGTTGCCTGAATGGAAAGAAGGAAGGAAGGGAAGGAGGACAATAAGGTATGCAAAGCTCCCAGAAAATGGGTAGTTGTAATGATTACGTAGTAGAAGCTCAACGGATATCCATTCATCCATCCCACTCACCCATCCATCACCCACTCACCAATTGATCCAATTATCCATCTTTTCAATCATCCATCCATCCACCATTCACCCATCCATCCATTCACCTATCCACCACCCACTCACCTAATCATCCACATCATCTATCCATCCATCCATCTGCCTATCCATCCACCCACTCATCCATCCATCCATCCATCCATCCATCCATCTATCCATCCATCCATCCACCCACTCATCCATCCATCCATCCATCCATCCATCTATCCATCCATCCATCCAGCATTCATCCATCCATCTATGCATCATCCATGCAGTAAATGTTTATTGAGCACCTATTCTGTCTTATTGAGCACCTACCCTGTATCAGACTCTGGCATAGATTCAGAGTTTCATGAAATACTGTCAGGGCACCACCAGGCACAGACTCTTCTCTGGCCAGATGCACCTTTGTCATAACCCTTATATCACTCTTTGCACCCCCATGCTCTTTCCCTTACCCTTGGCACCTCCACAACTTTCAACTCCTTAAAATCTCCTTCAGTATATCTCTCTTGTTTACAGAAGCATACTTGAAGCCCAGAGAGGTTAAGTAGCTTGCTAAGAATTATGCAGTGGTTCAGAGCAGTCCTGGATTTAGAACCAAGTTCCCAGCCATGCAGGTAAATTAGTCTCTGCTGATGGAGGCTATGCAGTGGGGTGAAGAGAGCTGGCTCTGGAACCAGGCAGCCCTGGGTTCAATCCTAGATCTTCTGATCCCTCACTGGGTGCCTTGGGCGAGTACTGGCCTCTCAGGCAATCCTTACTCTACCTGGAGGCTAGTCTGTCCTACGTGGCAGAAGGTGGTGAGGAAGGAAGGAAGGAGGACGTGGCTCTCGTCCTGCCCAGCCCTGTGCTTGGCACACAGTAAGGGCCCAGGACGTGGCAGCAGCTGTTACATCACAGCAGGGGGTTACCATGTGACCTCAGGAAGAGATGCCTCTGCCCTTTCATCCCAGTGCATCCCAGTCACCATTCCCTTAGGGAGAGCTCAGAAAACGGCTCCTGAGTGGGTAGCTGTGGGCAAACCCCACTTTAAGCCAACCTGGCCAAGGAACTTTAGGTCACTGCACAATCCACTACCAACCTGATGGCTTCTCTGCCACCCACGGGGGACTGCCTGATTCACAGAATCGTACACAGGGACGTTTCACTCATATGCCAACACAACAGGCGCTACGTAATCAAATTCAGTGGTATTATCACGCCCATTTCAAAGATTCGGAGAGATGAAGGAACTTGGAATTTAGGAATTAGTTAGGAATTTAGTATCAGTTGGTCTTGATGCAAAGAGAACAGTTATTTTAGAAACCAAGGGATGCCATCATTCTCATGGCTAACTGGGATTTTTAAAAAATCTAAAAAATGGGCCTAACTCCCGGACCAAGCAATTTAAATTACTGAGGTTATTATCAAATCGAGTGTGCAAAGATGTACTAATGACATATCTCTGCATTATTTATAAAAGCAAAAATCTAGAAACTACCTAAAGGCCTAGCAGTAAGAGGATATCCACACCATGGAATTCCTACACAAGCATTAGAAATGACCTGTGGAAGAATATTTGATGAGCTGGGATGGTGCTCATGTCTATTAAATTACAAAAAAAGCAAGTTACAATATAGTTTGCAGAATACTCTTCCATGGTCATGTTACATTTATATATATGCACATGAAAAAGAGCTGGATAATAAGTAATAAGTATCTGGATGATAAGTAATTTTTAGTTTTTTCTCTTTTGGCTTGTATTTCCTGATTTTTCTGCAATGAACAATATTGTTTATATAATTTAAATCTTTAACTTTTTTTAAATTATAGGCTTCATAGATTTTAATTTTAAAAATTTCTGAAACTCCCTCTCACTTGCTGCCTCCTGCCGGAAGGTGGGATGTTTTGGGGACACCACTGTGGGGTTGTGGGGGAGTAGGTCTTACCCTCTTCTGCAGACCCTCCTGATTCAGGATCCTGGCACCCATCAGGCTGTGAGTCTGGGCCCCACTCCAGTGGCTGCAGGCACTGCTGGGCCCGGCGGAAGTCCTCCAGGAGCTCAGGGCTGCTGGCTTTGGGAAAGGGCCCCTTTTCTCCCAAGCTGCGTGTACTCCCGTCAGCATCCTTTCCCTCTTCAGCCCAGGCCCAGCGCCGCCGCTGCGGTGGCCCCTTCCCCGGGCCCGGCTCAGCCCAGCAGACCTCCATCCTGGAGCTGGCCATGCGGCCCGGCCTGTGTTTCACCTGGGCCCCTTCATCTTCAAGAGGTGGAGCTGCCCCTACGGGCACCAGAGTTCCAACCGGCTCCGCTCAGCACCAGCCATCCTTCCTGTGGCCTGTCGGGGACACAATCAAGGGACAGCATTAATCCTTGAGCCCCCTCCTTTCTTCGAAGCAGAAAGTACCAGCAGGAACTCTGGAATCAGACAGCCCTAGTTCCGCTCCTGGCTCCACCCCTGTGAAGCTATGTGACCTTGGCCAAGTCACCCTGCCTTGGATTTCTTCATTAGAAAAACTAGGGAGAAACTCAACTCTCCCTCAAGAGTTTTGTGAAATCACCTGAGATACAGGGTAAGAGCCCAGAGGCTGGCACACGGTAGGTGTCCCATGTGTGCTGGGGCTCGTTATCGCGAGCCAGGCTCAGCACACGGGTGCTGGGGCACAGGCCCTGCTCACACGAGAACTGAGGGCCCAGGAGGAAGCAGACAAACAACCAGCAACTACAGATCAAAGTGGGGGTGATGGGGAAGCACGGGGAGGGCACCCAGGGGTCCAGCGCAGGCCCAGGAGGTCAGGATACGTCCCATTCAGAGGCTGCTTCCTCTGGGAAGCTTCCCTTACACCCCTTGAGTAACGGTTCAGATTGTGCGGGATGGGAGATGGTGAAAAGAGCATTCCAGTATCCAAAATAATTGAAAAGCAGGTGCTTGAACAAACACATGTACACACGTTCCTTGCAGCACTATTCACGGTCGCCAAGGGGGACATAACCCAGATGTCCATCAGTGGCTGAATGGACAAACAAGTTGTGGTCCATGAATACAATGGAATATCATCCAGCCACAAAAAGGAATGGAGCACTGACAACACGTGCTGCAAGGACCAGCCTCAGAAACATGATGCTAAGTGAAAGAAGCCAGATTCAGAAGGCCACACACTGTATGACTCTACCTAGATGCAATACCCAAAATAGGTAAATCCATAGCGAGAGAAAGCAGACCAGTGCTTGAGCCGGGGGAGGGGGGAGTGGGGAGTGGGGAGTGATTGCTGAATGGGCACAGGTGTCCTTCTGGGATGATGAAAATGTTTTGGAACTAGATAGAGGTGGTGCTTGCATAACTTTATAAACACACTAAATGCCACTGAATTGTTCACTTGGATGACTAAACAAAGAAGATGGGGTATGTATGTACAATGGACTACTACTCAGCCATAAAAAGGAATGAAATAATGTCACTGGCAGCAACATGGATGGACCTAGAGGTTATTATACTAAGCAAGTCAAACAGAGAAAGACAAACATCATATGTATCACTTATATATGGAATTTAAAGAATGACACAAATGAACTTATTTACAAAACAGAAAGAGACTCACACATATAAAAAACAAACTTACAGTTACTGGGTTGGGAGGGGGAAGGAAGGGATAAATTGGGAGTCTGGGCTTGGCAGATACACTGTGCTATGTATAGAACAGATAAACAACAAGGTCCTACCGTATAGCACAGGGAACTATATTCAATGGCTTGTAGTAACCTGTAATGAAAAAGAATATGTATGTGTGTATATATATATACACATATATATATAACTGAATCACTACACTGTACACCAGAAACTAACATGAAACAACATGGTAAATCAACTATACTTCAATTTTAAAAAATAAGGCAAAAAATGGTTATTTTTAAGTTATGCGAATTTCACCTCAATTTAAAAAAAAGAACATTCCAGGCAAGGGGACTATCAAATACAAAGGCCTGGAGCCAGGAGGGGGGACATGGAAGTGGCTTCAGGATGGCTGTGGCGGTATTGGGGTGGGGGCTGAGGCTCTGACAGCAGAGTGTGGGCATGGAGAGGCGGTAGCCAGATCCAGGGTCGGGGGACCTCTCGGGTCCTGTTGGGGGTTTGAAGTACATCTCTGGCACGGGAGAGCAGGCCAAGGTATGGTTAGAAGTTTCTCTCTGGCTGCTTGGGGAGAGTGAATCAGAAGGGAGAGCCTGCTGCAGAGGGAACTAGTTGTGGCAGTGGGAGGATGGCTGGAGAAGGGCTCCTCCCCGCCTGCCTGTTAGCCTTTCCTCCTTTCCCTCTTCTCCTTCCCTTCCATCTCCTCTCTCCCTCCTCTTATTCACCCTCTTGCTATGACCAACACCCCCCAAACACTTCCTCTGAGCCCAGGAAGCACAAAGCTTACAGAGCAGCAGGATGGTCCCACCCAAGATGCTCGCACAAGGACCCATACTCCAGGTGAGAACACTGAGGCCCAGAGAGCGGAGGGCCTTGCCTGAAGCCCCAGCTGGGTCAGCACCAGGCCAGGGTGAGAGGTCACCTTACAGCCCAGGTCCCGGCTCTTCCCTCCATGCTGTAAAGACTAATTCCAGGCCTCCCGGGACAGATGTGGCTGTGTTTGTCCCTGCAGCCTCGTGAGCAACTGGGTGGTCAGAGCCTCGGTTTGTATAGTTGAGAAAAGTCAGCAGGCTACTATTTCTGGATAGAAAGTCCCCCAGGGATTGGCTGCCGCCTTCTCAAGGGCTGGGGTAGGAACAGGGACTAACATTCCCCTCCTTCTGGCCACAATCCTTGCTCCTTAGGGTCTCCAAGGCCTCAGCCTCTTCCCTCCACTCAGCTTTCCTCCCTCCTCCCAGAACTTCCCCCCACCCCCCGATCACCCTGTAAGCCTCCCCACGATCCCCACCACACATGCTGGGCCCTCTCTGTGCCGGCCCAGGCTAGAAGCTTTACTACCTGCTCTCCATCTGTCCTCTCTGCAAACAGGTAAGTAGGTCATAGGAAAACTATTTTTTCAAATTCAAAAACTAAAGCTCAGCGTGGAATAGTGACTTGGCCAAGATCACCCAGCTGGTTAGTGACAGTAAGTAAGATTGGAAACTGTCGATTTTGGCCTAGGGAGTGGTCTCCAGTATTTTTTTTTTTTAATCACACAACTCATCACTAAAGACATATTTGCTCATATACCTAATATATGTATTTCTTATATACATGCATTTTCACACGAATACTTTACATGTGTTTGAGAAATATATATATATCCAAAATTGAATTTTTAAAAAGATACAATAGAAAATAAGTATTTTAAAAAAGAAGCTCTAATTCTTGCTTCCCACAACCTCTCAGGGGGGCCTGTAGCCCTCTTGGAAATTCCTGCCAGTTTGAGTGCTCCTAAGAATCCTTTAAGAATTCAACACAAAGAGAGCTGGACTCAGTGGCCCTGGGGTAGGGCCCAGGAATCTGCATTTCAAACCAGCACCCTAGGCAAGCAAGCCCCACCCTTTGACCTTGACCGGGCCTTCTGGATCCTGCTACCATGGCAGGTGTGCGAGATGCCAAAAGCCGTTGCTTTTCTGTTTCTGAAACCTCCGCCAAGGAAGGGGCTGGGGGAGGCGTGTGGTTTTTTGACTTTTTAAAGGGCTTTTTTCTAGCCACGCCACAGAGCAGCCTGCTCAATCACAGAGACCTCGGGGTGCACAAAGAGGAACATCCTGTCTCCTGGGATGACTCAGTCGTTACAGAAATCTCACTGTGACGAGGGGAAGCCACTCATCGGAGGCAACTGTGGTCACTGGCTGGAGTTTTGCACATGCTCCCCAGGGCCTCCAACCTATGAGACTTTCCTGAGTAAAACCTCTGCCTTCCACGCAAGCCACAGAGCCCAGGACCAGCTGTCAGCCAGTCAACAAACACACACGAGTGCCAAGCGTGTGCTGACCTCATGCTGGGATGAGGACACCTGCTCATGGGGCTGCTGGGAAAGAGAAGCAGGCAGGGTGTCCAGAGACCAGCTTCTGGGCCTGGTGCTGCTTCTCCACTGTGAACCGCTGGGTTTAAGTTTTTCCCTCTGTAAGATGGAGAAAATGCCACCTGCCCTTGCTGCCACAGGGGAGCAGCGCCCTGCTAGGGGGGGCTGGGAGGTAAGAGATGAGACTACGTGAACTTTGAGGTTCCTGGTTGATTCTCTCGCTTCTAAGGGCCACAGCCTCAGATCTGTTAACCCCCTCCTCCTCCCTGAGGTCCCACTGCAGAGTAACAAAGATATATACTGAGCACCCACTGGGTGCAAATTAACTTTAATAAAAACCCTATACCTCCTACTATGTGCCAAGTGTGACACAGACATGAGGAACAACAGACAGGAGTAAAAGTGTTCCAAAATTTCAAATGAGGGTACAGAGGGTTATTGAAGACAGAAATATTAAGTTGGGCCTGAGAGACAAAGAGGATTTGGGGGAGGAGAATGAGGGAGGGCATTCCAGGCAGAGGGAACAGCATAGGAAAAGGCACAGAGGTCTGAAAGAATGAACAGACCTTGGAGAGAGCTCGGACAGGGGTCCTTGAATGGCGGCCAAAGGCAGGGTGGTTCTAGTCAGCCTTCTTGAGGGCACAGGGCTGCTCCCGAGGGTGAAGGTCCAGCTGTATGAGCTGAAGGCTGAGCCCAGGAGAGCCCCCTGAGCACTGAGTCCCCTCAAGGGCTGGGCTGTCCTTGTGGGGCTCATCTCTCTGGGGCTCAGGGGCCCTGCCAGCCGTGGAGAGACTTGCCCCACAAGGAAGCACCACCCACTCCCCCCTCCTTTTGTATGTCTCTTCCCTCCATCCACACCACCCCGGCCTCTGACTCTCTCATGGGTCTACGAGACCCTTGTAGTCTGTCTCTCCACTTCCCAAGTGGGTCGGCCACCCTCACAGGGCTTCCCTGCCCCTCAGTCCAAAACCGAAGACCCTTCCCTTTACGGCTCAATCCCTGGGTTCTCCTCTACCACCTTCAGCCACACAGCCCACTTCTGCCTCCTCGTGCCCTCTGAAGCCTCTCACTATCCAGCCAGGGCTCTCCAAGGTGCCCCCACTGCTCCTCCCAGGACCCTGACATCTCCCAGGTATGGAAACTGAGTCGCAGAGAGGCGGCTTGCTCTCACAAGACCTCACAATCAGGAAGTGTGAAACCTGGGGCCTGTGACTGTGAAACCAAGTCCATCAGACTTGGTGGGGCGGTGAGAGAAAGGGGAAGAAAGACTCGCCCTACCGAGTAGCAGGGCCCCTCCAAAAAGGCTGGGCTTTGCAGTTAAGAGCCCCAGACTCGGCTGCCCTCCCTGATCAGTGAGCAGGCAGGGCACAGACCTGCAGTTCTCAAGGGCTTCCCACCAGCCACCCGTGTAGAAACCAGTCCCTCGGGGAAGCATCAGCCACTTCCCCCTCCGGATGTTCCCCTTGCCCCCAGCTCTCTCCCGCAGCAGAGGCCAAGGAGAAGGAAAAGGTGGAAAGGTGCCCCTCTCTGCTGTGGACTCATCCCTCCAGCCTGAAGGGCTGGGCCAGGTCTTCTGCACCATCCCTGGCTCCTCTCCTGCTCCTTCTCTGCAGGAAAAAGGGTCACTCTTTAGTGGGGATCCCCCTGCTGCCTCCTGGCTGCTCCTCACCCGCACATCATGTCTGGGGCCCCTTAGCAGCCCATGGGACTAACTCTCCACGTGCAGATGAGGACACCTCAGGCACAGAGCGGGACCAGCGCTTGCCCAAGTTCGCAAAGATCAGAATCAGAGCTCAGACTGGGATCCGGCATCCCGAGGCTTGAGGAAATCCCCCTAAAATTCACCCTGGCCCCGGGGCCGGGTTCCCCTAAGCCAGAGAGAAGTAATGCAGCTGCCACAGCTGCAACTTCCTGGCTGGGCTGGTCCAGCCGCCCAGACCGTCCCAGAGAGCCTGTGACTGGCCCGTCCAGCGGGAAGGCGGCTCCCCCCAGCCCGCCCCCCTCCGCTCCCTTACCTCTCTCTGGATCCACCACCATCCCGCTGACCCAGGCTCAGGGGACCTGCCTGTGAAGTCTTTGTTCCAAACCTGGGGAGCCCCTGCCTCCTCGGAGCCCTGGCCCGCCTCCAGGCCGCTCCGCCAGCGCCAGCGCTGCTCACAGACAAGCATCGCTTCGCTCCCCACCTCTCCCCGCCCCTGCTGCGGCTGGGCTGCGGCCGCCTCGCCTCGGCAGGAAGCGCCCAGCCTCATTTCCTACAAGTGTTTGTCAGAAGGAGGGGGTTTGTCTGCGTGCAGAGTGAGTGAGCAGAAGGAGCTTAACCCCTTGCGGGCCCTCTGTGGGTCTGCGCCGCTCGGGAAAGGACTTCCGGACACCCCCAGTGTCAGAGCTTGGAGCCATCTCAGCAACTGCGGACAATAAAGCCCAAAGCAGGTGAGAGGCTTGGCCAAGGCCACACGTCACGCTGAGCCTGGAAGGGAGCCTCCAGCAGCCTCAGCCCTCTGAGAGTTTTCTCCTAGCGCCTTCCCTCCAGGGCATAACCTTGTTCGAGGCTCCCTCTCTCACTAGGGCACAGTGCCCAACTGTACAATGGGAGCTCAGATCGGATGCTTGCTTGGCACACTGCGGGCTCTGACTCTCTGCCCTGTCTGCCAACATGCGACCCAACACCTCAGGGAGGCTGCAACGATTCCTGCCATCCCACGCACTGTCCTCACCCCAAGCTGGGCCTGTAATTACAGTGGGATTTTCCAGGCAGCACAGAGGTGGGGAATTGGCTGATCATGTGAATTTCCCCTGTTATTCCAAGGGCTCATCAGATGGCAAGCTGCCTTTTCCCAAACCCCTCTCATTCCATTCATTCATCTGACAGAGACTTACTGAGCTCCTGTAGTGTGCTGGGTGCTTTTCCAGATGCTGAGAATATGGCAGGACACAAGACAGGCCAAGCTCTGGCTCCAAGACACAGACAACAAACAAACATGGAGAGAGGTGTGAACAAGGTGGAGAGGATGAGGTAGGTGGTGATCCATATCCCAGGTTGCTCTCGGTTATCCTGATACCCAGGACTCACTCAGACCTAGAGTTTGTCTTTGGGCATCAGCGATTTAAGCGTCCCAGGTTACTGGGATGTGCAGCCCTGGGAGAGAATCTGTAGGTCAGAAAGTGACAGGATGGAGATGAGGGCTTGAGGGTGGCCAGAAAGGTCTCTGTGAGAAGGTGACATTCGAACAAGGGACTGGAAGGAAGAGATGGGATGGGCAGGAGCAAACCACAAGAAGGGCTCGCTGTAGGGTATTCTGGAAGGGCAAGTACAAAGGGCAAGATAAGACCCAGCTGGGCTTTCTCTGAGGCCAGTGAGGCTGTGTGCCCAGAGCAGAGGGAGCCAAGAGGGAGAAGCAGGAGCCGGGACAGAGGGGTGGCCCCACCTAGGATCCAGGGAATCTAATTCAGGAAACCAAAGAAAAAAGAAAAGAATCTGTCCTCTGCATTGTCCAAAAAGCCCTCCAGGTAATTCTGATGAGCAGCCAGGTTTGGGAACCACCCGTGTAGGAGAAAAAAATGCATCTTACAGTCAGTGCAGACCTGGGTTCAAATCCCAGCCCAACCTCTTACTAGCTCTGTGACCTGTGAAGCTTCACCTCTCCAAGCCTCAGTGTCTTCATTTATAAAACAGGGTTAAGAAGAATAACACCCCACAGGGCTGCTGCCAAGATCCCCTTGCAAAGTGCAGAGCCAGGGACCTGGAGCATGAATGAATGAATGAATGAGTCCTCCCATGGTCAGTTTGTGAGTATCTGGCGGAGCTAGAACCAAATGCCCTCATCCCAGTAATCGCCCCACCCTCTTCCCGCCTTTTACCCACATCTGGGTGGCGGGGCTCTACCCAAAGCCCCAGCCAAACGTGGAGCAGAGCCAAACCCTAATGAGGCCCCTCCCTGCCAGCTCTGGTGACCATGTGGTCCATTGTGTGAGGGGCGGGCTGCCCTGACACCCCGTCACTCACTCACCCTCCCTCCCTGGTCATTAACCCAGGCAGCACTGCCATCAACGCCAGGTGGCTGCTGCAGCCAGGCACGCCCCGTGACCCCTGGATAACCCAGACCCCGAGGGAAACAGCCTCCTATGCACCCTGTTCCATTTCTTTGACACCCCAGTCTTACTAACCCTCCTCCCTGCCTTTGCTTGTGTGGTGCCCGCTCCCGGCAGGGCCAAATCCCACCTCTATCCAAAACCGAGCTCATTATATTGCCACTCTCAAAGCCATCTTCCTCAGCTTGGCCCACCTCTCACCCATGTGCACAAGCCAGAACCAACCATCATCCTCTCCCTGACACCCCATAACCAATCCATCATTAATGCCGATTGATTTTATTTCCTAAATCTCATCAGAATCTGTCTCTGCTTCCCCACATGGCCTCCCATAACAGCCTCTCCTGGAAAGCTCTTGGGTCCCTCCAATCCATTCCTCACACTGCTCCAAGGGTTCTTTCCAAAACAGAAGTATCCAAACACGGCCCTTCTGTGCTTAAAACACTCTGTTAGCTAGCTGCCCGATGTTCTGGGAAAGATGAAACTCCATGGCCTGGCTGCCGCTCCAGCCTTTCCCCTCTCAGCAAGCTCAGGCAACACGGGGCTCTTTGCTGTCCTGGGACAAATGTGCGGTGCTCCCCCTCGTCACCCAACCCCCGCTCCTTCTCCCTGGTGACTTCCAGACAGCCTGCAAATCCCAGCTCCTCGTGCCTTGCTCCTCGTGCCTTCGTGGGGGCCTCACCATTTGGAATTGGACGTTAGATATGTCTGCCTGACAATTGGGAGCTCAGTGAAGTGCTCATGTTATGTCCCAGTGGCCAGCACAGGCCCTGACACAGAGGAGAAGCACAGGCAACCCATGCTGGACCATCTGCTGAATCTAGCCAGTCACCCCAGCCTGGCTTGCGGCCCTTACAACAACCCAGCAAGACTGACCTAACATCCCCATTTTACAGATGGGTAAACAGAGGTCCCAAGAGCCCCAGCAACTTGCCCACAGTCACAAAGCTGCTGAGTGCAGCTAGAGATTCAGACACATGAAGACCCAGCTCTTAGCCACCATGCCTGGTGCTCATGCCGTGTAGCCTGCGGAGATCATTAATAACCCGGGCACGATAAAACCGAGTGTGGAGCTTACTACCAGCTAACTACAATCCACTAAGCCAAGGTTCTAACTCTACACTGAGGCTCTGGTTCCTCACAGGGCCTTCTGGTTTTCTAAGATGCTTTCTCATCCTTCATAGCACCAGATGCTTAAGAATAGCCTTGGGAAGTGGGCAGGACAGGGGTAGGATTCCACTGCACAGGCCAGGACACTGAGGCCCAGAGATGGGGAAGAGATTAGTTCCTGGACACCCAACAGAAACAAACGAGCAAACAAAAACCTTTGACCACTACGGCCAGGGCTTGCTTCCATCAGAAGCTTGCCCACATGGGGCTGCGTCTGCACAGGCCTGCCAGTCCTTACCACGGGAGCCTGGGTCATGACACGCTAACATTTCTCACCCACTCTCCCACTGCCCGCCCTCCCCTCTCCCTCCCTCCATAGTCATTCTGGAGCCCCACGTAAGTGCCTGGCATGTTAACCAGACTGCAAGATGAGTCTGTCTTCAAGTCTTCTGGTGCCACCCAGTACATGGCCCTGGACCAGGATGGGCATCGCTCGCTGATGTGATGAGCCCTGGAGAGTTACTACTTTAGATGATGTCTTGAGGCCCAGGGGGCACCGTGGGGCCACCAAGCTTCTCGGACATCCTGGGGGAAACCAGGGGCTGGTGCCTTGAGGGTTCATGGGGGCTGAAGGCTCTTATTTCATCCTCGGCCCCTCCCTGAGAGCCCCACATCTCCTTTCCCTGGGGAAGAAAAATCCACCCTGAGGTCACTCACTCCTTTCGACTCAGGTGGCTGACTTTACCCCATAGTTAAAATTCGCAGGGGTGTGGGGGTAAGGAGGCAGGAGGGGACCCAGAAGAACCGATGGAAGCCTGGCTTGGGAAGTGGAGACCCAAGTTCCAGCCTGAGTGACATCAATCAGGCAAGTGCTTTTCCCTCTCTTAGCTTCGGAGCCTCAGGACTTAATGAGATTATCTCTGAGGTTATCAGAAATGACCTTCTAGCACTAAATCTCCTGGGTTCTTTGATTCCACTTGCCCACACAGGCAGCAACACCGTGCCGATGGGAGGCTGCAGGGAGCAGGCGTTTAGGGCACAAGGGCTTTGTTAATAGAAAGACCTCAGGTTCTCTCTTGAAAGCTGTGTGACCTTGGGCAAGTCTCTTAACTTCTCTGAACCCCAGATTTCTTATCGGTAAAATAGGGGTAATACTGACTTCACAGGATCCTTGGTTACTGAGACTATATACCTCAAGTCCTGGCCAGTGCCCAGCTGGCACAGAGTTCGTGAGCACATGACTTTGGCCATATCCATGAAATGTTCATATGGCCTGCTCCTTGCAAAACTGAGTTCAATTTTCCTGGCTCTGGAACTTCCCTAATATCAGCCACAGCTCAAGCTTTGAGTCCTTTACACAAGTGGAGAGAAAGGCTGCTCTCTCCCTGTGACCCTTTTCCCTGAGGTCCCCAAATCAACGCTGGGGGTCACTGACCCAGCTAGAAACTGTGTCCCTACCCTGACTCGTTAAGGAGGGGAGGAAACAGGCCTTCCTCAGCCAACTGAAACATGGGTTATGAGGAGGGTGTGGCCATAGTGAGGAACACACACACCCACACCCTCAAATTTATGTTCCTTGGAAAGAATCAAACAACAGCTACAAAATGTGCATATGGTGGGGATGCATGGCTAACAACAAAACTTTATTGCACACATATTATGTAAAGGCCTTTCCATGGATTAGGATCTCATTATTTAATCTTCATGCCAATCTGAGGAGGTGGGGATTATTATGCCCATTTCACAGGAGAGCATGCCGGGTTTGAATCAAGCCGTCTGAATCCAGAGACTACAATCTTAGTCACTTTGCGACTGAACCTTAACAGTAGGTGAAAAGGTTGGAAACAACCTCAGTGTCCAACAATGGGGCATCATTAACGTAAATTATGATACTTCCACTCAAAGGAATATAATGCAGCTATTAACAGTTGAATTGTAGAAGAATATGAAGTGATGGGAAAGAACTGTGATACGTTACGTGAACAAGTCAGTTATAAACTAATATAT